GTCACCAAAAAGAGGACTCTGTACATGTAGATCGCCAGGACGAAGAGCAGGAAAAGGAGCCCTGAATTTCTCAAACCCGAAACCCATGTTTGGACCCACTTGATGGTTGTCCCCTGACCGCAACTTTGCCGGGAGCTGAGTGGTGGAAAACAGCGTGAGTGGTGTGTCTTTTGTAAGGTTGGACCCATCAAACATGGCGGTTGTCCTGTTTGTTTCCCTTGAAAACCACCAACAAAGAGTACCCTCAAAAGAAAGACACACCCATTTCCCCATTGGCCCAGATTGATTCTCCCGCTCTCCGTGGGTGTGTCTCCGAGTGAAGGTACACCAAAAATGCGTTGGCTCCCTTTTCGAGGAACTCTCTGAGGGTAGCCTCACAAAAAAAGAGAGCAAAAGTTGCCCTCTTGGAACAATTGCCAGCAGGTCAACGTTTCCAGGTTGCCATGAAAGAACAAACGGAAAACCGTGGAAAACCCCCGGTTGCTTTGGAGCCAAAGCTCTCACTTTCGAGAGGTGTGAGCGTGTGTGCCTGCTTGGATAGGCTTTGGGTCCTGATAACTTTCCTAGCTCGGCAGGATCTCTTGATTGCCTTGCAGCCCACTTTACGCAAGGAGCAGGTACAGCCACGGAGCATGAGTTGATTGAAGTAAACAAACACTTTGATTGCCGAGCTGGTCTTTTCTTCGGTGCAACTTGTTTGTGCCAAGCTTCCAAGAGCCGTCCGATAGGGGAAGGAGGCACCAGGAGACAGAGACAGCTAAGCGACCGAAGGCCAGATTTCCCGAATGGTGTGCTTGGAATAACAGGGCTCTCAGTGATCGCCATATTATGGGGGTTGATCAAAAGGTCCTCTACATGGGATGACCATTGGGGATAATGACCAAAAATATGGGATTTCCCACTAGATGGGGAAAGTCTTAACCATGCTCATTTGGCGGCCGAACGCAAAATTGATCAACCCTGGTATTTAGAGGGGAATCAAATCATTCCAGGGTTTCTTTGGTGGTGCGAAATGGACTTCGTCCATCCAGAGTATGGTAAAAACATCAGAGGCTCAAACTCGCCAAAGCAAACTGCGGAAGACCCTCACCGAGCTTCGGGCCAGCCCCAGGGTGGCCCCGGCCAATCCGCCGGTGATCAGCCCCGCACTGCCTACCGGTTGGGGCTAGGGTCTCACCTCCGACTTGCAAGTAAAGTTGGATGCTCCGCAACCCGGAAAAACGCTGAGCCAAGCACGTCAATGGCCGACCCTACCTCCGATTTCGAAGCCATGCCTCAGTGGGGGAAACGTGTTTCAAGTGTTTTTTGTCTTTTAGTACCCTCCCCAAGCTCCCAGGACCCCTTTGGAAGACTTGGTTCCATTTACAGAGGCCTTCTGGGAGCTTCCATGTTAGTGTGAGGGAGCGTAGCCAATTCGGTCCCCCGAAAAGAACGGCTCAACGGCACCCCAAATCCCGCAGCGCCTCCGCCGACTCCGAGCACAGCTGCGCCAGAGATGGCCTGAACAGCGCGGCTCCGAGGGACCAAAACCGCCCTCTTTGGATGTTCCTCTTGAGTTTATGTCCCTCGCAAGGAGCAAACAGACAAAGGAAAGGCTTCAAAGTGGGGTCTATGTCCAACCTAACCATCAAAAGGAAAGTCGCAATCTGAGCAGACAACTAGCATCACGTAGGTGATGCTCCGAGGGCTCACTATCTGGGTGTAAGTTTATGGGACCCCTTTAGTAGACATCACTTAGATGGGGATTCATGTCCACTTGTGTCAAGGTTCCCGAAAAAAACATAGCCACAGTTCCCCTCAAACGAAGATGGGGCATGCCAAGCGCCCGGTGCTGCAGGTTGGGGGGACATTGGGATCCGGTGAAAGCATGACCAACGGAGAAGGATCCTGTGGGAGGAGTGTTAATCTTACAGATCCCAATAATGGGCAAGCCAATGTGCAGGCGCCCCTGAATAAAAAAGATATTTGTCTAGCACAAACATTGGGGCCTGCAAAATACATGAAAGCGCGAATAAGCGCGTGACCAATATCAATGAGCATGTGTTCAAACATACTGTTGGAGTCTACTAAGAATGCTTAGGGTGGGGCTTAGTTCTCGTTTAGGGTGGGAATTTGGATGGACAAAGGTTGGCTTGAGAGTTGGTTCAGGTTGGGTACAAATAACGGACTCCAGTTGAGTGGCCAAAAGTTTCCCAACTGGCAAATGTGTATATGTATATATATATATATACATATATATATACACTATTATGTGCATCTCAACCTCCAACTTGCTGGTTGAAACCAGCAATTCGCGGGTTTGCTGATAGTCTTGGTAGGCAAATCGCCCCCACCCGGTCAAAACAGCCATGTCTTCAGAAACTTACTTGGGCACAATCAGTTTCACCAAGATCACTAAGTCCTTTGAAGAACGGGGTGGGCCGTTTGTCAGGTTCCATGTTCATTGGCGGGAGGTATCTTAAGCAGGCGGGGAGTCCCCGCCGCCCCCCTAGAGAAGAACCTGACAGGGGGGTGGGAACACCATGTTCATTGGTGGGTATGTGCATCCGGGTTGACCCTACCTGGCTCGGCATCAATCTGCCAATTCCCAAAACTAGACGTCCGAAACCTGAAAAAGGAGAAATTGGATCGCCAAGTAAAGAACCCTTCTCGTGGTGAGCTCGTACCCCCGAAGCCCGAAGCGGTGAGCTCAGACGGAAGCGCAGTCCGAGGGCCCCGCGGAGGCCGCCTGGACCCGCGTCTCCGGACTCTTCATGGCCTCCACCACGGAGTGGGCGGCTTCCTCGCAGGGCGCCCGCCACAAAACCGCACGGTGCTGGACCCACACCCCAGCTGCGACCAGGGAATGACAGGTGATCACCTTTTGGGTATATCACATTCAAAAAATACATCATTTCGGGTCGTGTCCAAACAGAACCATGTTCTTTTTAGCCTGCTTTGGGTCATTTTTTCAGGCTGCGGGGTCGCAGGATGCAATATAGCAATACTCGAACTACTGACCACAAGCGTCCTCTGCTGCATCGCAGGACTGCTTCCACAAGCTAGCTGGCTTGGACCAGATGCTCAGCGTCTCTTCCTGCCGTCGGACCAAGCAAGCGCTCTACTAATTTGGCATGGTTCAGGAAATTGATCACCCGGTAGGCCTGTAAAGAAAACCACCAACTACGACATGGTGAAACAAGACACCCCCGGCTTCGACCCAAACTAGGTACGTACACCGCCCTAGTTGCACGTGTAATATCGTGAATGCTTTTGCTTTGGAGCAATCTTTCCAAAGATTGCTCCAAGCCGCGATTACATAGGGGGAAAGGAGAGCGCTGTCTGAAATGCGCCGAGCCAGTGGGGAATTCCTTGCACTCCCGAATCCCATTGGCACGCTGCTGTCCGAAGCTCCGATTTTCAGCCCCCAACTGCCGTCTGTCACGGATTTTGCTATGCTGGAGACCGCGTGTCGTTTGGGAACCGCATGAGAAATTATCGTCTCAAAAACCGATGGGGGGAGGGGTCCTTTCTGTGTTGTTCACCCAAAAGTCTTAATGCCCCAAATCTTTGTCGGTTTTTCGGCTGCAGGCAACACACAGGCTCTTGAGAAGTCAGTTTGGGAAACGACCCTTGCAAGTGCAACAGAGCTGCTCTTGGCAAACCAGTTAAGGACATGACATGGCCAACTGCACGCAGCTCCGCTTTTTCAGCCCCCAAATATCGTCTGTCAAGCATTTTGGGCACTCCGTGACGGCAGACATGAAGGACAAGACGGGGTCCGCTGGTTGACACGCCACGTCCAGAGAAGAGTCCAGGTAAGGCAGCCACAGTGCGAAAAGAAAAAAAAAAAAAAAAGAAAAAAACAGCGCCGAGTGTGTGGAGAAGCGATGCGAGAAACCAGCTAGACGCAGCGAGATGATGCAGGCAAGGGCTAAACAAACATCTTCTGACACCTGGTTTGGGCACAAGAAGCTACAGCAAAACAAGACAGCTCAGCGCACAAACAAAGAATCCAACAAGTCACGCAAATCCTCCACACACACACACACACCGCACATTCCACACACCGCACATCAAACAAAAAAAAAAAAACGCACCGCAGAAACAGCAAAAAATGAAGTGCTTGACAAGAAGAACAAGAACAAGAACCACAAGACCAGCAAGAACAAAAAGCAAACAAGAAGAACAACAAGAAGAACAACGAGAAGAACAACAACAAGAACGACAAGAACAACAACAAGAAGAACAACAATAATAACAAGAACAAGAAGAAGAGCAACAAGAAGAGACACAAGAAGCACAACAATAATAACAATAACGACAACAAGAAGAACAACAAAAACAACAAGAACGAGAACAACAAGAGCAACAACCGCAACAGCAACAACAACGACAACGACAACGACAACAGCAGCAGCAACAACAATCAACTGGCAAACAACAAACGACAAAAAACATTACTTTACTTCGAACCATCCCCACCTACGCTAAACTAGCCTGCAGCCACACAGGCGGCAAAACATCAATCCGACTTCTTGCGCGGGGTCAAAAAGCATGCTGCATGCTGGGTGCTGCGGCAAGGCGGCAGCGAAATGGAGGCAAGGCGGCGTGTCACAGCTGTCGAAAGAAGCCAAATTGTCACAGCTGTTGCTGGCACCGGTGGAGTGTCTCACTACTTCAACTACTTCGTGAACTTCTCACATGAAAACCTTGCCAGTCGCGCAAGGCGCCTGGGGCGGCTGCATGGGCTGGGGCGGCTCCATCCGCGGCCGAGAGGCCAGGAGGCACACCTCTGACCAGCCGAATGGAATTGAGGCTTCTCAGGAGTTCTTGTTGCATGCTTGAACATCTGTTGCTTCAACAACCAATAAGCAACCCTGAAAATGCAAGATCTTCAACAGCCTCTTGCTTGGTTTTGTGTCTGAAGCATATTAGAAGATCTATTGATTCAACCACCACTTCATGACATTTTGCCCCCTCCCCCCTCCCCCCTCACAAGGCAAACTTTCAGTCAGCAGTTCGACTTGGGGAAATCAACCACCGGTTCGGCTGCCTGCTTCATTCGACCGCTTTTACCCGGCGGTTCAGTCAGGTGCTTAGGCCACGAGGCACGCATCGCAACGCCTCTCCGCGCGCTCCAAACAGAAAAAACCAGAGATCTATCTGCGCTTCTACTTGAATGAAGCGAAGCCCTTCCTGGCCCTTCTAATCTAAGAAAGCACCCATTCACAGGTGAAAGTAGAGGTAGGCATTCTGGATTTACGCAAATTATGTTTATCCACCGATTGATTCATGTACTTATTCATATCGGCTTCTTCATCAAATGGTTGCTCGTTGGCTTTCATACATTTATACCCCTGGTGCCTCATCTCTAACTTGACATATGCATTTGATTGTATACGCATTGGCGAAAAGGGTTGTTCCCTCCGCTGCGGGAAGCCAGAACTTGACAAACCCAAAACCCATTGCCAAATGGACCCAGGTTGCTCAAACCTTCGCACCATGAACATAGATTTAGGCGGCGAATCAAACCCTGAAGCGGCCGGGACTTGAGTTGAATTTCTCAATCCGTCATTTAAGAAAAGAAACCCTGAGAAGTGCACAACTTTCCAGTCGACCCTTTCAAGCCGACCTCTCACTACTTTGAGACACGCTCCCTATACGTCCCATTCAAGGGAAAACCAACGCAAAAATCACCATGTTGGAGATCCCGCTATGTTGACACCTACCCAGAACTCCTCCTCACGTATGGCTGTGGCTCAAAAAACCGGTACCACAAAATGGAACCCTGGTAAGTGGAAACATGGACCAAAACCTGCGTAACCCCTCCTGTTTAGTTTTGAGCCACACCCATATCACCCCAACAGGAAACCGGACAAACCTCAAGCCGAACCTTTGCGCCGCTCGGTGAATCCAAGGCACGAGCACCGCCCCCACCGCCGTCCAGGTGACAAGCCCGGTGCAGAACACCAGCCACGCGCTGAAGCGCAGCGGCCTTTTAGGAGGAGCCGACAACATTTACCGCCCGCTGCGTCCCAGCGAGCGGATGGGCCCAAAACAGCTTGAACTTGTGTTTGTTTGTTTCACTACCTCACTTGCTGAGTGGATGGCCCCAAAAAAGTCCAAACTTTATATTTACCACTAAAATGGTCTTCCCAAAAAGCTTAAAGTTCATGAACTCAGGAAGTGAGCTACACTGGTCTTCCTTTCAAAAAGTGCTTTTTAAGTCCAGGAACTCAGGAAGTGAGTTACCCAACTGACAATCGGATGGCAACCCAAGTCAACCTGAATCCACCAAATAGCGATATCAACCCTTCGCCGAGCCTAAATGAACCCCAAACAAACCCAAGACCCGCCCTTATCAAGATCTCAGGTAGCCCAAAACTCACCTAAACCAGCACTATCGACAAGCGAGGCTGGTCATGCTGGGCATGCGGCCAACCAAGCAAACAACCAACCCAACCCAACCTAACCCAACCCACCAACCCAACCCGCCAACCCCCCAACCCCCCAACCCCCAACCCCCAAACCCACCCACCAACCACCCAACCCACCAACCCACCAACCTCGTCGCCAGAAATAAGCACAAAACCAGATGTGTGCTCACACCAGCGGAACCGGGCCACCGGGCCCTCCTTTCCTAAATGCTGCCCAGTCCATCCCAAGACTGCACCCTTGCTTCCAGTTGCAAGTTACCGACAGCCATTTTTCTGGGACCGGGGTTTGGATCCTCACATTGGTGGCCCCACCCAGCCGTTGCGAGCCACGCTTGCCCTCGGACCAGTCCTTCTCCGTGACCCCAAGTGATTGTAGCTTGCCAGTTTCTCTGAGCAATGATCTCTCGCTCTGGTTGTCAAGGGAGCCCCAAAGGCTTTAAGGCAACCCCCCAAATCCTAGGGGTGAATACCGCCCAATAAGGCTCACAACAGAGTCTGGAAAAACTTCATACTCCGTGTTGATGTCCGCTGTTGGGAAGCTATGAGTTCTGAGCTCTTTGCCTTTAGCACCCACTCTTTGGGGGGGCCCCTCCCAGCTCACCGGGCAACAGGGGAGAGCCTTGGACCATTTTCCTTTTAAAGAAAACAAGGACCCGAACATCAGGTTCCACGCTAGTGGGCGGGAGGCTAGCTGCTCCACTTGCAGGGGCCTATTGATTATTTTTCAAGTCTGAAAGACGGGGAGCATGTGCCATGCTACAATTTGGCGCCATGCTCCATGCAAGTTCTTCACCCTCCAGGAACAAGAGGCGCACATGCGCGCGCGCGTGCCCATAAGGTGATCAAGTGATCAACCCTCCGCCCTTCAGGACGGGTCTTGCCCCGAGGTCCATTCGATGTTTTCGGACCTGCCAAGATTTGGAGAAACCCATCGACCCAAGCCCTAGGGCCTGAGGGCAAAAGCAACACCAAAGTCTAGGAAACCTCCCGTCATCCCGGGTGTTCGAACTGCAAGAAAGATACTCCATCTCCCTGTTGGCTGGGGAAGGTGAAACCAATACGAACCCAAACTGGAACCAAATGGAGATTTGCTAAATGGAAACAGGGACATTCAAGCCTGCGCCGTGATTTCGACCCATACCTGGTTTTTGCGCGCCTTGCTTGGGCGGCTCCCCAGAGGTGTGGGAGTCTGTAGGTCCCGTGCCTCGGGACGGAGAGCCATCCCCAAAAATATTCCCCCAAACTCACCGCAGAATCCAGTGGTTCCCAGCTTGCAACAAACTGGCCTACTGAACTACGGACCTTGGGGTCGGAGTCTAGTGCGGAAACGCGGTCTAAAGTTGCAACCATAGGCGGCCTTTTGGTAAAATAGATGGCCCTGGTAAATGGAACAAAACCCATCTAAGCCAGTGGAACCCATCTATTTGTAACCAAACCAACCTAAAAAGGGGCCTATTTCAAAACTGTGGGGAATGGAATCCACTCCTGTGGATCCAACAATAAGGGCCTAACCCCAAAGACTATTTTTGCCAATAGAAAACGGGGGGATCCCCTTACAAGGTATCCCCCAAAGGTCGGAGACACCCGCTTGCGATCCCAGCACCCATCGAGATCCCACCTCGCGGGCCAAGGGGCAGGGCGCCGTCCGCCAGGAGCGGCGGAGCCACGCAGAACCTGCCAGCGAGCGTGAAGCGGGGTTGAAGAGGCAAACCCTGGGCTCTCCTTTGGATTCCCTCGGGAAAAGAGCAACTCGAGGAATTGGCCCCAAGTGTGTACATAAACATATATATATATATATATATATGTATATATATGTATATATGTGTATATGGCTGTGGGTCAAAACCAATGGTACCATTTTGGGGGGTTTTCGGTGCACCACCCATTTTAGAACCTATTTTAGTGGGGATTGGGATGTTCACTGGGGGTACGGGCTTTTGACCCATGGCCATATGTATACATATGAAATGCCTAGTCTTCGACCATTGTCTCTGAGTGCAAAAGACTTCTGATTGCCTAAGGGTCAAGCGTCCCCAGCCCCACCTTCTCAGTACACCCTGAACGCCCGGCCACGAGCCACCCACCTGGGTATGTTTTTCTTTGGTTGCCCTGTTAAGGCTGGTTCCCTTGGGACGCCAAGTCAAGTTCCCTTTCTCCTGGATCCTGTGTTTGGGTGGATAGGTTCGTGTAGAGCTATGATTCAATGTGAATGTATAGTGTATGTATTTGTGTCCGTGTATGTGCACGTGAAGGCGTATATGCATATGCATGCACGCACGCATAAACATATATATATATATACTATATATAGTGTGTACATATATATATATATATAGTATGTATAGCATATGTATATAGTGTGCGTACATATATATATATATATATATATATATATAACATGCATATATGTAGTGCATATCTACATATACATTCATAGGCATGCATAGACATGGCCATACACATCCATACCATCCATACACATGAAACCGACTTCACGTGGAGAACGCATCGGCATTTCTTTCTTTTAGGACCCCCAACATAGCGCGACGGTGGTCTTTTTGGTGTCCCTGCAAAGCCACCAAAAAAGGGGGGATCAACTCAAAAAAGACCAGCCACGCACATGTATGCCTTGTTTAAATACAATCCACTGAAAGAAATGGATCTGCAAGCAACGAATCTCGATAAGCTCATGTCCCTTCTGACGGACTGGTTTACTTTGTTGGTGCAAATTCACGCAGATTCATAATCCAACACTTGAAAATGGTTGATGTATGCTTGAGATTCTTTTCAAGCGTCATCCAGAGAAGAGCCTTGAATTTAGGCAACACCCAATTCCAGTACAAGAAGAAAAGCTTATAGGGGTGCGATTTCCCGATGTTCACACAAGAGTCTTCCGGGTGCACCAAGCAACTAAAGGCTTTGCACTCTAGACCTGACAGTGGCCAATGATGCCAAGTCTCATATGTTCTGCGATCCAAGAAGGAAAAAAATGGCGTGGTTTCTTGCTCTCAAACATCCTGGATGGTTGATACAATCTTGGTCCTATTTGCGCAGAATGGTCCCTGCGCTTGGCAACCCACCACCTCAAAAGGTGCGGCCCAACTGTTGCACTCTCCGGGCTTGACTGACCCACTTCAGATCGCCGAGGGAGCCGCAACAGCGTTCGTTCAACGCCTTCCGCGCATGCTTTCTCTCAACCGCACGAGAGACACTCGATGATTGATGCACCTGAACTGGGCGGTCCTCATCCCCCAAAAGTCGAACACCGAAAAAGTTCAAAAACCTAGGAATCGGATGCCTGGGAACCGCCCAGTAAAGAGAGAAAACCTAGTGCCAGTCGCATGTGGCCCTTTTGCCCCTTTCTGCAAAGATGGCAGGCCAAACAGTCAGGGGTCCAGTTGCTGAAACTCCGTTGTTTGGACCTCAGTTTCTCTGCTACAAGGGAAAACCTCGTGACCCTAAGGAGGAATCCTACTTTTGGGGGCAATCATTCATTGGTTCAACGAGGTCGTCTCAAAAATGCCATCCCCTGGCACCTGGGTTTGTCTCCGAGACTCGGAGAACTCGGGGAGTCGTAACCAAAAGACCAACAGAAGACCAACAGCAACCAACAGAGAGCCAAACGATGTCCAAACAGCACAGGGGCAATCGCGCCATGTGACCCCATGTGACCCTTCCCCTCTGCGCCTTGCTGCTGGGATGCCGTCCAGCACCTGCAACGACGGTGAAGTTGGAATCTTGGAGGTTGTTGGATCTGGGCAAACTGATGTAATTCCCTACATGAGAACAAGCAATCTCTATACGCAGGAAACCTTCATCTGAGTCCTGGTAAGGGTTGGACCAACCACTTGCATACTTCAACTGAAAAACATCCTCACGTTGGCTTCCCCGGGAAAAGCAAAAGAAAAACAGGCAAATGGGTGTGTCTGCAAATTAGTGATCGAGTTGACTCGGTGTCCTTTTGGAGTGAAACAAGCCATCCGCAAGGACACCTGTTTCGGGACATCTCCCCACATAGGTGTTGAGGCCAAAAAAGAAAGGAACCTTCTCCATGTGGTCGGGTTTACGCTTTGCTTCGGCGTTTGTTTGGCCGTGGTTTCTTGGCTAGCGTTTGTTTGTACGGCGACTCTTTTAAGACAGTCATCCCAAAAATGGAAGCTCACTTGACATTTCGTAAAATGGTCAGTCAACCAAAGGGCAGACATTACATGAGACATTAAATTTGTACAACCCGCGACCCCCCCTCCAGACCCCCAGGACCCCAAACCCGTCGAGCCGAGCCACCCGAACCTCCGCCGGCACAGGCGGCAAGTTGGCCGCCGCGGCACCGTGCAGCGCCTGAGCCGCGAGGGCCGCATCGAAATCTGCAGATGGAGTGCCTTTGGGGACTTTTAGTGTAAAGAATTACATCTCTGTGAGCGGCCCTTCTGTGCATACGCGTATATATATATATATATATATACTAAAACCACCAGGAGTTGGATTTCAGGGATCTGAAATGGCCAACCCGAAAAAGCTCGGTGGCTATTTCAGAACCATGGTTGGTAAATCTCTGTGTTGATCGTTTCAGTGTTAGTTGGCAACTCAATACCAGCGCTGGTATTGGCAACTAAATACTGGTTGGTTGGCATTGTGGTGAAACGGATTCTTCTTGATTTCCCTGGCTGGGGTGAACTGCGCCTTTTGAGCAGAGTCCCCTTTGGCTTCAATCCAGGGTCTAAAGTGTCTAAGGGTGAACCCTTGGAATGGCAGCATGTTTCTCCTGCCAAAAAACTTGAGGTTCCAACCTTCGGAAGTCCCCTACTCGTTGGGAAACGGCGTCCGAAATTTTCCTTTCCTTGAAGCCCACGAGTTGGCACCGCAAAACGCTTGGAATTTGCTGACCGCCTTTGGTGGGCTGCATGGCCAACGCCTTGGACGAACCGGCCTCGTTTTGCGCTTCCGTTGTCCGTGCTCCGGGATATCCACAGTGGACAAGGGCGGTAGGTGGCGAGTGGTGCTGGAATGTGAGAGCTGAAGCCTTGTTTTTTTTGAGCCAGTGGAACGCAGGGGCATGGCCGAGCCCCAAAACCAAACATGGCTGTGGGTCCAAAATAGGGTAACCCCAAAATGGCTTGCCCGATCAGTAAATGGAAACCTGGACTAAGACCTGCGATGTTCTGGTGGTTTCAAGTTGACCCATACCCATACTGTGGATGGACAAAATCCTGCATCAGTTGGTAGGTGGTTTATGCCATTATTTACGGGGCTTCACCTATCCAGGTGGTGCAGGATTTCGTCCATTCACAGTATGACAAACAAGGACGAGACCTTTCCGGAACAAACCTTGCGCCAGGACTCCGTTGAACCAACGCTCTTCTGAACTGCGCCCCAGGTCATGTCGAACCACGTGGCTTTCCATCCATTTCGCTTGTTCCAGTCAAGTTTGCACCTAGAAAAAAGAAGAAGGAAAAAACACCAAAAAACAACAAACAAACAACTAGACCACGGTTGGCCCGAAAGCAGAACATCGCAAGCGAGGTCGGCCCAACGCTGCAGGATGCGTTCTTTTTCCCTACACGAAGCATTCGTGAAGCAAGCGCGAGACAGCACCAGGCAAGGTGCTCTGCGCAAACTGGTCGGTGCAAGTTGGTCTGCGCAAGTTGCTACGCAAGTTGCACTGTGCAAGTTGCTCTGCGCAAGTTGCTCCGCGCAAGTTGCTCCGGCAAGTTGGTCCCTGCAAGTGGCTCCCTGCAAGTTGCTCTGTGCAAATTGCGCTCCCTGCAAGTTGCTCTGTGCAAGCTGCTCTGTGCAAGTTGCTCTGTGCAAGTTGCTCTGCGTAAGTTGCTCTGCGCAAGTTGCTCTAGGCAAGGCGCTCTGCGCAAACTGGTCGGTGCAAGTTGGTCTGCGCAAGTTGCTCTGTGCAACTTGCTCTGCGCAAGTTGCTCTGCGCAAGTTGCTTTAAAATGCAAGTTGCATCTTGCGACGCCCGCCCGCGGACCACCCGCCGGTTCCGGGAGCAGGCGCGAACCACGAGACAACTCCCGAAGACCAGTTCGAACAACAAAAGTCGCAAAAAACCATGGGTTTTTGCACCTCCACCACGCCGATCCCCGCAGAGGGTTGCGCGAGCACCGCAGAAATCGCAAAAAACCATGGGTTTTTGCACCTCGACCACGCCGATCCCCGCAGAGGGTCGCGCGAGCAGCGCAGAAATCGCAAAAAACCATGGGTTTTTGCACCTCGACCACGCCGATCCCCGCAGAGGGTCGCGCGGGAACTTTAGAAATCGCAAAAAACCATGGGTTTTTGCACCTCGACCACGCCGATCCCCGCAGAGGGTCGCGCGAGCAGCAGAAATCGCAAAAAACCATGGGTTTTTGCACCTCGACCACGCCGATCCCCGCAGAGGGTCGCGCGAGCAGTTAGAAATCGCAAAAAACCATGGGTTTTTGCACCTCGACCACGCCGATCCCCGCAGAGGGTCGCGCGGGCACTTTAGAAATCGCAAAAAACCATGGGTTTTTGCACCTCGACCACGCCGATCCCCGCAGAGGGTCGATTTTCGTGTAGTGTCGTCGGCACTACCCCGCCGCCCTAAGAAGAGATTTTAACTCCTCGCAAGTCAATTGCACTTGACTCCTTGCACTTGCAACTTGCACTTGACTCCTTGCTTGTTTCAAGGAGTCATTGCAAGGAGTCATTGCAAGGAGTCATTGCAAGGAGTCATTGCAAGGAGTCATGCAAGGAGTCATTGCAAGGAGTCATTGCAAGGAGTCATTGCAAGGAGTCATGCAAGGAGTCATTGCAAGGAGTCATGCAAGGAGTCATTGCAAGGAGTCATTGCAAGGAGTCATGAGAGCCATTGCAAGTTGCAAGGAGCCAAGTGCATGGAGTCAAGTGCAAGTCGCAAGTGCACGGAGTTAAGTGCAAGTTGCAAGTGCAAGGAGCCAAGTGCAAGGAGCCAAGTGCAAGGAGCCAAGTGCAAGGAGCCAAGTGCATGGAGCCAAGTGCAAGTTGCAAGTGCAATGGAGTCAAGTGCAAGTTGCAAGTGCAAGGAGTCAAGTGCAAGTTGCAATCCTTGCCATGACTCCTTGCAATGACTCCTTGCAATGACTCCTTGCAATGACTCCTTGCAATGACTCCTTGCAATGACTCCTTGCAATGACTCCTTGCAATGACTCCTTGCAATGACTCCTTGCAATGACTCCTTGCAATGACTCCTTGCAATGACTCCTTGCAATGACTCCTTGCAATGACTCCTTGCAATGACTCCTTGCCATGACTCCTTGCCATGACTCCTTGCAATGACTCCTTGCCATGACTCCTTGCAATGACTCCTTGCAATGACTCCTTGCAATGACTCCTTGCAATGACTCCTTGCAATGACTCCTTGCAATGACTTTCATGATGATGATTCCTTGCAATGACACCTTGTAATGACTCTCATGAGAACAACTCAAGTGAACCCAGCGGAAGAACCCTTCGCCATGCTTTCGGGAAAAAACAAAACAAACAAAACGGCGGGCTTTCCCCTTCGCCCAAGAGTCCCGCGCCCACCCATCCGAGCCGGGGGCCCATTCCAGCCAGGATCTGGCCAGGTGGGCTGTCCATGTTCAGATCCGCTAAAAGTGACAAACTTGTTGCTTAAATGGAAGTCCCCAAAAAAAACAAATGGTTCCAGCAGTGATAGATTCCCTTGAAAACCAACAAGCAAAAAAAAAAAAACCTTCTCAAGCAACAAAAAGCAGTTGCTATCTTTTAGTGGGTTAAATGGAAATCCAACTACTAAACACTAACAAAATCTACAAAGCTAAGGGGATGGCTGGGAGCCACCAAGTGGTCATGTTCCACTGACCCAAACGGACACTTCTTGGGGGTGCCAATCTTGAGAAATCCTTCACAACATGTGCACCCCAAATGGGCCGGTCTCTTAGCTTCCCGAAATTATCTTGGCAAGGGGACCAAAATCAGTTTTGGATCCCTGGTCTTACATTTTGCCTGTGGAGCTTGGACGACCTCTTCCATCCTGGACCAGTTGTTAAAAACAAACGGCACTTGTGTGGGAAAGAATGGGTAAATGCAACACTAGATTGACCTTGGGCATGCTCACACACCGAGCTGTTCAAAACCTATCACACATTGCACGGCCCTGGCAGAGATTGTTGATGAAGTCGTGCAGCTCCCCGTTGCTGCCTAAGAAACCCTGGAATGAATGTACATACTAACCAACAATGATTTCAACCATGGTTTCCAAGTGGTGCGAAATGGATTTCGTCTATCTATAGTATGACTCACTTGATGTACATAAACATATTTTCTGTTGTACCCCACAGCCGGGCCAAGAATCTGCAACTGTGGCCTGCAAGATTCGGCGCAAAAGGCGAGAAATCAAGCCCTACCCGGCCCTAGCCTCTCCAATATTGACGGTGGACAAGGCGTCTTTGCAAGAGGATCTTCCAAAAGCCGGCGATTGTCCACAATCAAGGGGTTCCTCCAAACTTGCAGACCTGCCCCATTTGGACGGCTAAAACGTGACCGCCGTTCCCAACCTTGCCCTTCGGTTTGACCACGAGACATAACCTTTCTTTATGGTGTCTACCAGAAGCAAGTGGGGTTTGGGCACTCAACCGAGCGCGAAGGTTCAATTCCTTTGTCCCCGGCCTCTTCCAACAACCCTCGCTTCCCCTTTGAACATCACCCCAAAAGGGGGGAGGAAAACAAAAAAAACGCGGACGTCATAGCCTCCCTCCCACTACTTACCCCTTACAACTCCAAGCCCTGGGGAAGTTAATCTTTTACAGACATATAGCCCATGTTACCCAAAAAGTTGAGAAAAGTTGTGTTTTTAAGCGGTAAGACTAACAGAAGGCTTCTTTGGGACTACCTGGAAGATCGATTTCCTCTTCAATGGACCCCTCTGGTGCCCGGCAACGTGCGCCGTGCGCCTCCGCTCTCGGAAGACCAACTGGCGCCAGGGTGTTGGGGTCGCCACCTCAGTGCCACGGTGGACCCAAAAATCCGAATGAGCATGGTCAAATGCCTGGCTTTTGCCCACCTTCCAGGGGGGGAAAACATCCTTGTGATGTTGGTCTTTCGGTCGGAGAGCAAGATGTCAGACGGTTCACGGTCCAGGGTCCAGCCCAACATGCGTTCCTCTCTGAGAAACTGGGCGTGAACAGTGGCTTGCCCAACAGTCAGCGAAGCGCCTCGCCTCGTGACCTGGGACTTTGGTGAATCCCAGACCCGTCTTGCAGAGACTCAGTGGAGCGTCACATGTGGCGACAGCCGGACATAGATCATTCCTGACCTCGGTTGCTTTCTGCTCCCCTGCTAAAAGCGGCTAAATTTTAGTGGTTTAATACGGAAAACCCATTGGTTGGCAAACAGTCCTAACATCCCTTGGCAAAATGCACCAAAGTGAATGTCAGAGATTGGAACACTTCGCCTTTGGCGAGACTCTTTGGTTTGACATTCCCCGGTCCACTAAGGACCACCTCCGCGGAAATTACAATATATATATATATATATGTACACATATACACAGCAAACGGAGGAGAAACACAAGAACAAATTGTTGGACACAAGTCTGTCAAAAGTTGGCATTCTCGTGAATTGAGCTACCCTCAATGCACCTGGAACCTGAAGCGACCATTTACAAAGGGTGGTCCCTCAGCCTGCCATTTTTCAAGTAGGTCCATTCATACAAAATTGTTGTTTGGGAAACCACCCTTTGTAAACGGTTGTTTCGGGTTCCAGGTACCAATTACGTGCCCGACATTGGGCAGCGGCCGTACCAGACCCACTTTTCGGACCCGAAGAAAGGGTTCAAACGAAACATGCCCTGCGCGCGATGGGCCGATTTTCCTTTGTGGGAAATGTACTGGAGGGTGAGACCCCCTCTGCTTTTCGCATCACTTGGTGGCTAACTTCAAGCGAGTTCCTTTTGGGGTGACGATGTGTAGGTAGAAATATGAGGGCCCAATCTCAAGGCGGCCCTTCAGCGCAGAATCCCCAGTGTACTGTCCAGGACTTGTCTATAGACAGAACCTTCTTGTGCTCAGTATCGAATGACCTTCCGGATGTTGGGAATGAACCGGGGGGGATTCCCTTAAAGGAAACCAAAACAGGGATATTTTTTCCGGGCTCATTCCAAGTCTCATTCCTTGCCTATCGAACAAGCAAGAGAAACCGCATTGCTATCAAATAATCCCATGAGAGACCTTCCTGAGACTCTCCCCCCCCCCCCCGTGTTTTTCCATGCGCTCAGATGAAGCCGGATGAGACAAGAATCCAACCCCAACCCTGCGACGCGTCCCTTCCCGAAAACCAACCACCGGCCCCCCCCCCATTCCGGAAAGCCATTCCGCCGGGTCTCCGATGGAAATCCTCAAGGTCCGAGGCCCCCGGCCACGGAGCTGTTGGCATCCAAGAGCTGCAGCCGGACGAAGCCTGCGAACATCCGCCCGATTTTTTTTTGGGGATCGGAGCTGGCGGGTAAACGCACGGCCGTGGTTGTCAACACCAATGGGATCCCATTTTGGGGTAGCTGAAAAGGGTACACTCCAAAACAAACACACAGACACACAAAGACAGACAAACAGACAGACAGACAGACGGACAGACAGACAAACAGACAGGCAGGCAGGCAGGCAGGCAGACAGACCGATGGACGGACAGACAGAGACACAGGGACACAGAGACACAGAGACACAGAGACACAGAGACACAGAGACACAGAGACACAGAGACACAGAGACACAGAGACACAGAGACACAGAGACACAGAGACACAATCAAAACCCGGTATTAAAATTGTGAACCCAGAAGCATGTAAAGAATTCAGAAGCCGGAGATCCGCAGCCATTTATGGCTGGGATTTGCCCTTACTAATCTTCATCTACCCGGGTTTTGATTGTGGCTCATATGTTCACAGTTGCAAACCTTTCGCCGCTTTGAGACGGTTCAGACCATCTAACCCTCCCGTGTGAACACTTGGCCTTGCTTCGCATCAAGATTCCCAGCCATAGGTGGCCTGGGTTACCACTTACTATTTTTCATCTACCCGTTTGATTTTTTTGAAGAAAAAGAACTGAGCTGCCACTATTCCCGAAAGCATGGCGAAAGGTTCTTCCGCTGGGTTCACTTGAGTTGTTCTCATGAGAGTCATTACAAGGTGTCATTGCAAGGAATCATCATCATGAAAGTCATTGCAAGGAGTCATTGCAAGGAGTCATTGCAAGGAGTCATTGCAAGGAGTCATGGCAAGGAGTCATTGCAAGGAGTCATTGCAAGGAGTCATTGCAAGGAGTCATTGCAAGGAGTCATTGCAAGGAGTCATGTCATTGCAAGGAGTCATTGCAAGGAGTCATTGCAAGGAGTCATTGCAAGGAGTCATTGCAAGGAGTCATTGCAAGGAGTCATTGCAAGGAGTCATTGCAAGGAGTCATTGCAAGGAGGAGTCATTGCAAGGAGTCATTGCAAGGAGTCATTGCAAGGAGTCATTGCAAGGAGTCATTGCAAGGAGTCATGGCAAGGATTGCAACTTGCACTTGACTCCTTGCACTTGCAACTTGCACTTGACTCCTTGCACTTGCAACTTGCACTTGACTCCATGCACTTGCAACTTGCACTTGACTCCATGCACTTGGCTCCTTGCACTTGGCTCCTTGCACTTGGCCCCTTGCACTTGCAACTTGCACTTAACTCCGTGCACTTGCGACTTGCACTTGACTCCATGCACTTGGCTCCTTGCAACTTGCAATGGCTCTCATGACTCCTTGCAATGACTCCTTGCAATGACTCCTTGCAATGACTCCTTGCAATGACTCCTTGCAATGACTCCTTGCAATGACTCCTTGCCATGACTCCTTGCAATGACTCCTTGCAATGACTCCTTGCAATGACTCCTTGCAATGACTCCTTGAAACAAGCAAGGAGTCAAGTGCAAGTTGCAAGTGCAAGGAGTCAAGTGCAATTGACTTGCGAGGAGTTAAAATCTCTTCTTAGGGCGGCGGGGTAGTGCCGACGACACTACACGAAAATCGACCCTCTGCGGGGATCGGCGTGGTCGAGGTGCAAAAACCCATGGTTTTTTGCGATTTCTAACCTGCTCGCGCGACCCTCTGCGGGGATCGGCGTGGTCGAGGTGCAAAAACCCATGGTTTTTTTTGCGATTTCTGCGCTGCTCGCGCGACCCTCTGCGGGGATCGGCGTGGTCGAGGTGCAAAAACCCATGGTTTTTTGCGATTTCTGCGGTGCTCGCGCGACCCTCTGCGGGGATCGGCGTGGTCGAGGTGCAAAAACCCATGGTTTTTTGCGATTTCTAACCTGCTCGCGCGACCCTCTGCGGGGATCGGCGTGGTCGAGGTGCAAAAACCCATGGTTTTTTGCGATTTCTGCGGTGCTCGCGCGACCCTCTGCGGGGATCGGCGTGGTCGAGGTGCAAAAACCCATGGTTTTTTTGCGATTTCTGCGGCGCTGCAAAAAGGGAGGTTTTTGCGACTTTTGTTGTTCGAACTGGTCCTCAGGAGTTGTCTCGTGGTTCGCGCGCCTGCTCCCGGAACCGGCGGGTCGCGGGTTCGATTCCTCCCTGGTCCGCGGGCGGGCGTCGCAAGATGCAACTTGCATTTTAAAGCAACTTGCGCAGAGCAACTTGCGCAGAGCAAGTTGCACAGAGCAACTTGCGCAGACCAACTTGCACCGACCAGTTTGCGCAGAGCGCCTTGCCTAGAGCAACTTGCGCAGAGCAACTTACGCAGAGCAACTTGCACAGAGCAACTTGCACAGAGCAGCTTGCACAGAGCAACTTGCAGGGAGCGCAATTTGCACAGAGCAACTTGCAGGGAGCCACTTGCAGGGACCAACTTGCCGGAGCAACTTGCGCGGAGCAACTTGCGCAGAGCAACTTGCACAGTGCAACTTGCGTAGAGCAACTTGCGCAGACCAACTTGCACCGACCAGTTTGCGCAGAGCACCTTGCCTGGCGCTGTCTCGCGCTTGCTTCACGAATGCTTCGTGTAGGGAAAAAGAACGCATCCTGCAGCGTTGGGCCGACCTCGCTTGCGATGTTCTGCTTTCGGGCCAACCGTGGTCTAGTGGTTCAAACCCATAAACCGCTCAAGTCCCAGTGCCCGGGAACTCGCTTTGCGGTGCGCGCGCGGGCGAACTCGTTTGAGCGCCTGCCCGCTCGCAGTCCGAGAGGTCGCTGGCCAGCTCCAGCTCCAGCTCTCGGTGGTAACTCGAGAAATGCCTCGAGGGAGAAAATTTGGGGGCTGGATCCATGTGTCGGGCCCCAAATGACTCCCATTTGGTGGGAAGTACCATCGTTTTAGTGGTTGTAGTCGGATTTTTAGAGGTTTTACGTCATTTTAGTGGGTTTAGTCGGAAAAATACGGTTGATGCCCTAAATATTGCAAGTAGGGAACAAGTAAATTCCCATGGTTTGTGGTTGACTTACTTGCAATATGAAGGGGGCATCCACCGTATCATTTCAGTGGTTTTAGTCATTTGAGTGGTTTTCCAACCAATGGTCCTCCCATAAGGATCGCTTCCTCTTAGGGACCTCTGGTGATCCGTTTCCCTTGAGCTCGAAATGCAGCTGTGACACCTGGAAGCCTTTTCTCGATGACTGATTCTGGAAGCGCATTCTTCCAGAACCATAACTGCACACATCGCATACACGCAGAAAGAGCCGGCCGTTTCTTTGGCTGTGTCATTTTTCTTAATGGGACCCACTAAAATGGTGGGTGTTCTGTTGGTCCCTTGAAACCGACAAAGGGGCACCCTTTGTACCCATCGGATCGACCGAAACACGAAAAAACGTTTCGGCGCTGAGGAAGCCTCCACTGACATTGCCAGGTTGGAACGCCGAAACGTCTCTTTGTGGGTTATCCCAAATTCAGGGACCCTGCGCCCCCAAAATGGGGTGGGGGGGCCCGGGGTTCCCGGTTGGTTGCCCTTTGGCTTCCCTGAAAGCCTCTCGTAAGGGGCAAGCCCGACTCAGTGGAAATCCCGAGGTGGCAACTGCCAAACTCTCCCTTCCTTTCATCATCTGGTCACCAAAACTTCACAACTCTGGGTATGGTTGCAAACAACTTCTAAAAATGAACAGAACCCCAACACCAAAAATCTAAAAACAGAACTGGATCCGAGAACAGTCACCTTCCATTTGGTTCAGGCCCCAGGAAAAAATAAACATATATCCAGCAGTGATGAATTCCTTTTAAAAACAACAAGGGGAAAAAAAAATAACACATAGTCTTAGGCAAATGGAGTTCACCAACCACCCCCTCGGGAGACCTTCCATAGACCTCGACCATTGCATCCCGGGCGCAAGGGGAAGTCCTTGCACGCCTGCAGCAGCTCCGGATCTCGCAGCGCCTACGGAGCGCCGCGCTGACGCGCGGGTTCCTCAGATTTACCCCTTAAATGGCTCATATTGAAAAAAACAAACACACACACACACACACACACACACTCAAAGGACATTCTACAAGTTGGCCAACACCACCACTTGTATGGTTCATAAAAGGCTTTGTCAAGAGAATCAAAAAAGAAGAAAAACAACTTTCAGGACCTGGTGCGTACCGCCGCCGGTACGTGCCACCCTTTCAAGCGGATAGCAAGAAGGGCTCCTTTTGACTAAAACCTTGATAAAAACCAGCAGGAAACTCTAGAAGTTGGCCACCGAAACCTGCTGGTTTTAGAATTTCCTGTAGGTTTCTTAGCATGGTGTGAAGGGAACCCCCCCAAGGATTTTGACATCAACTCTGCCCATCCAGGGTACTATTTGTAATTAGAAACATCAGAAATACCTGGGCGAGTCTGTCCCCATGCAACCAGAAACGCCTGCACTGGCCAATGCCCAACAAAACCATGCAACCATCAAACGGTCAATGAAACTGGGGGGGAACATATATTGGAGGGCTTCAAAGGGGAACCAATGTGTGGGCCCCGCTCAAAATGAGCAAAAACTGGCAAAAAAAAACGTATTCCACCCGGACTTGTAGGTGAGGGACACCGCGCTGCTGAACACTTGGGGGGTCAACCAGGCCGTTGTTGCGCATGAGGTCCAGCTGTTCAGACCAACCAGATCGACCCAAAGTCAGCTTCCTTCCAATTGGTGGTTGGGATTGGTGGTTTGGTGGTTCAGGAGGGGGTTTCCGCCACCCTCTACAAGGAGTAGGGCTTGATGGTTGGGACTTCCTTGCCCAACTTCACAAAAGGTGCTCGCCAGAATCTACAAATCGCCCCACGCAACACCTTCGGGGGGGGGGCGGGTTGGGGTTCAGGCAATTTGCGGGCCCCAAAGGTCGGTCTGGACAAGGACGCCCTTATAACCGCATATATCTACAGGCTCTCCTTGGTGGCAGCCGGAACTTCGGCTGGCTCGGTCCGTTTTGGTTTCTTGGTCTCACGCGCGCCCTCCACCGCATTCGCGACGGAGCCCGCCGAGTTGCAACGCGCTTCTTTTGCCGCAGAATTTGCCTGGCACCTTGGTTTATGTTGGAACACGCGAGCAGGGCCGCAAGGATTTTCAGAAGCCCATGGGATTGATGTATCTGGTCGCTTCACCTGAATCATTTGCCATGGCCATGTGGACTCGTTCACTTGAAAACCCCGCCTGCAGCACGGTGTCAGTCGTGTCTGCTTTTGTGACATCCTCGGCCAGAGTCAAGCCCCAGTTTCTGGTAGGCGGCGTAACTGTAACCAAATACGCATCAAATGGTTCTCTTAGCCATGTGTTCTGATTAGGAACCTTTTGTGAAAGGTCGATGATCCCATCACAACCATGCCTTTGCATCATGGCGCAGATGATCCCACAGTGATTTGTGTCCCATCATGGGAGCATGAGCAAATCCGCTGTTTCGAGCATGGCCTCATGTCCTTCCCAAATTACCACTGATCGGCAGTGGTATTGTCAGCTCTGGCTGTGTGGCAGAGATCCTGGGAACAGGAAACTAGCATGTTTAGAGGCAGGGTTCCACGCTTCAACCTGCAAATCGGGCATGTTACCCGGGAATTCCCTAGTGCATACCCCTGGGTTTAATTCATCGAGGTAGTCAAAAAGTGGAACCCCGTTTAGAGGAGTCATACGATTGACTCTTTGTCATGCGAGCTGTGGTCAGCACATGCCGTTCCCGTGGGAAAACGAGTACATCCGATCCCCGCCCCATGTTGAGGAACCCCTCTCTCCAAAACAAGAAACACAGCTTGATCATCGACTGCTGCCTTTTTCACAGCGTCGCAACAAGCATTATCCTGGTAGGGCTTTAAACTTCATTGGGTACTAGGAAACTAAGAAGTCATGACAGGAGAAGAATCTTACCACCCAATCGTTTCGCCCGTAGCACCAAGGAGTAGATCCCCGTCCCAAATTGCCTTGACTCACAGGACTCGAATGCCAGCTCCCTGGCAGCCCTGAAACTGTTGTGCCCACCTGGAAATCTTTCAACTGTACCAGTTGGAATCACCGGAAAATTGGAAAACCAAAAGCTCAAAATTCTCGGCTTTTCTCACAGTTCCCGTAAAAGAATCCTTGTCTAAAACTCCTATATTGAGGACCTTCCCAAGCAGAGACCTCCGAAGATTCCGTTGCACGAACATCCTGGCACAGCCGCATACGCCACCTTCCCGGGCCGGCAGAAAAGCGTAACTCGCACCACCCAAAAGGATGATATATGCCACGAAATTATCTGGGTGAGTTGCTGGCTGCTGCTTGGCAGGGAATGCCCACTACGGGTTTTGGGAATGAACCGGAAGGGAAATCTCTTAAAGGACTCACAAGGGATGGTTTTGGTCCGGGGGTCATTCCAACTCTTTCCCAGCCTACGAACCAGCAAGGGTCAACAAAGTTCACATAGTCCGTGCGAAAGGAATCTTCCTCCTGGATTAGGCAAACCCTTGGTCAATGAGGTCGCTGTTTGCCCAGAATCCTTGTCTGCTTGCAAAGAGGGGAGATTGCTGCCGCCTTGCGGCGGAACCGCCTTTTTGGACAGGCCAGGAATTCCAGAAGGATCCTTACTGCCTTGAATCCTTCCAGCATAGCAACTGGATTCAAAATAGGTTTTGTCTCCTTCGGAGCCCTTGAGAAAAACAACAACTCGCCTCCTGATTCTTCCGGACCACCGCTTTTTGTCAGACCTGCCCTCCCAAGCCCAAGAAAGATTGTTCACCCCAACCTGGTCTCCACCACTTTTCCGGAAACGGGCTTTTCATGGGTTAAAACGGAAGCTTTACCTCGAGGCAGGAAGCAAGAAGGGAGGTACCTGCCAAGGTGCCGAGCTCCAGTCAAAGGCCTCGCGAATGATTCGGCATTGAGAGACCGGCCGAGATCTTCACTTCGGAATCGGCAACGCCATTGGAGTACAGTACAAGCAACTACAATCACGACTACGCATGGGGCGCTGGTCTGTTCACTTTGGGTTGTAAGGTGCATCAAATTGGCTTGTAACGTTGTCAATCAGACCGGAGATCTTGCCCAAAGAAAGTGGAACGTGCCAAAAAGGTCACACGAGATAGACGTGTCGCATAGGCCTTTGTCAGCGGCATATCTGAATATGTGCCCAATGTACCCACACCCCGGACGCTGGCATGGATCTGTATGACTCATGCTCTCCTAAACATGTCTCCCAAAATAGGTCACCCCCTTTTTGGACGTTTTCCAAGGATAACCGCAAGGACACCGGGCCTGACTTGGTACAGCCCCTAGTTTTGGAAACCCCACCTCTATGCAATCCCCAACGAGAGGTGAATTGGTCTGCGTGGGTCAGCTCTTGATCAATGGCACGGGCGGATGTGCCGTTCGTCAAACACCCGTTTGCGGAGATGCCTGTCAACTGACCCGTTGACTTGACGATTCGGGGGCACGTTACGCCAAACGAAGAACAAGTTTCAAGGTTTGCTACTGCACCAAATGGTCAATGTGCAAGGAAAATTGTCTTCCAGGACTCTGTCAGGTTCCATGTCAGTGCAAGGTTTGCGAACTCAGGGAAGACAAGCACCACTGGGAACGCCTGGTTCTGAGTGGCTGGCAGCCGCTTTCAAGAGACGGACGCGACCGCAGCGTCATTTTTCGCGCCAACTTGGCATGAGGTCTGCTGGACCCCCCGCCCCCATGGGTTTATATATTAGGGAAGATCCCAATCCACATCTCACACAAGCTTTCAAGCATCGCTTGAGTGCTTTGACAAACCTCAGGTGGCAAGCCCATTGCTTGCAGCGTCCGTTGTTTAAAGAGAAACCAAAAGAACACCAAAAGAACACGGAACACCTGGGTGTTTTGATTTATACCCATTGATTCGGGTTCCCTATGGGTGAGGCGCTGTCTTTGCAAGCCTGACAAGAACAACGCTGTAGTAGTTCACACACCCACCCACACCCACACCCACACCCACACCCACACCCACACCCACACCCACACCCACACCCACACCAATCAACCAACCAACCAACCAACCAACCAACCAACCAACCAACCAACCAACCAACCAATCAGCCCAGCCCAGCCCAACTTGTCACACCGCACCCCAACCCAGCCCACCACCCAACCCAAGCCCACAAACAAACGCTGACGCGCCCCTCAGCCCACATCCACCGCCTCCATTTCAGGGCTCCCGGCCAAGCGATGATCCTCCCCAGTTCCCGGGAGAAACAGGGCGTAGGTCAGCCAAAATCCGCTGAGCACCAAAGCAGTGGCAACCCACTGCAGCCTAACGTGGCAAGTTGGCAACGGCAAGCCGTTCCGCGGGGAAAACGCTGTTCGGAAGAAGTTTTCCAAGGGGTCCAACTCACAATGAGTCCTTGAAAACCGGTCCTTCAACGGAGGCTCGTAGGAATTCAAAGGGGCGTGTTCTCGAAACTATGCGTCCCATTCTGTCCAGGAAGGGCGAAAAAAGGGATAGATTGAACCTCAAGAGGCTGCCAGCTAGCTAGCACAATGTTGACAGGATGCTGAAGAGATGCCTTTAGGAACCGACAAGCTGGGTGTTTCGAAGAAACCGCTCTGAAAGGAAGGAGCCCAAGAAAAGAATGGGGACAGCCGGAAATATCACACTTCACCAAATCTGAAGCGAAACCACGCTTCAGAAACCATCATCACATAGCCGAGGTTGAAACCAGTTCCCTTGTGAGGTCCCGTGTGTAATTCGCAGGCAAACTGGCAAATCCTTTCATTCCTGGCGCCTAGCCAGAGAAACATCAGCTTCCCTCGAAAAGGGTGGTTTGGTGGTTTGGTGATTCGGGATGGTTTGCCCAAATTACCCTCCACAGAACCGAGCGATTGGGCTCAAGCCCAAATCCAAAGCACCAAAGCCCCGAGCAGGAGTTGCCTGAAAAAGCAAGATCCAGAGGCAAACACGTCGAAGCTCTTCTCGCTTCCCTGCGCTTAGCACCTGAGCTTCCGGCGCCTCTGCGATAAAAAAGGCCTAGCGGCGATGCGGGGCATTTCACACAGTTCCAAGCTCAAAAAAGACACACCCTGACATGTTGCACTATTGGGCGGGACAATTGGAAGACATTGTGGGGTACTTGAGGTGGGCCGGTGGGGCAGTGGGAACATCGATGCTGAAAATTGTTATCTAAATGTCAACCCAACTGGTTGCTTGATTCCCCACTGAACCCAGAAATGGACACCCCCCCTCAAAAATAAGCTGGCTGGTTGAAAAATATTCCTATGGGCTCCGCATTCAATTCCCATCTGCCCCACCCCCCCCCCCCCAACCCCGTAGAAATAAGCCGGTTGGTTGACATTTTCCTATGGTCTCCATGTCCCCATGTCCGCCATGTCCTTTCGCCTCGATGGCCATCTCCAGGTTCCGCAGCCAGCCTTGCAGTCCCGGGATGGGCACCAGCGCCACGAAGCCTCGCAGACCGCGCATGAAGCGACGGCTGACTTCGCGCGAGGCTTTTGTGGTCGGGGGGTTTGCGGGATGGGGAGTTTTCGGGTGGGGTTTCGGGACGGATGGCAGTAAACGACCATGCGGCTGGATGGGGTTTTTGAGGGGAAGATTCAGTGCAGGGCTGGATGCTGAGTTGATGGGATTCTGCTCAAATGATGGCAACTTAAGCTGGCTGTCATCAAAAAACCATGTGCCAAGATCATTTCCAGCGGCAAATCAAGAATGTCTTAGATGACCTCGTGCGACATGCGGGTTCCTTGTCTCGAAAGAATTTGACAGGCTCTGCATGGTGGGGTCGTTGTTGAGGGTACACCGTGCTTGTGGTTTTAAAGGGAAAGCAAAGGAAAATGACCCTTTTTGTTTGGGGGGGTATTTTGAGACAAACCCACATGAATGAGAAAGAAACCACAAGAACCCGGCGTCAAGCGGCCTGTCTCCGGCCGTCTGCAGTGTCTCCTCCCAGTCCATTGTTCAGCAAGTGACACCCCTTTCCACACTCGGTGTGTGGGCTCTGGTATCTTGCTGCTTCGATACGTGACGTCCAGAGAAACAATCCCTTGTGGAGACCCCGAGGTTCATTCCCATGCGAATCCCTGCGATTCCCAGAGAACCAGCAAGTCATTGAGGTCTCCTTTTTCGTGTGCATGTGCCCTTGTAAGCAAATGCAACGTGAACGATATGATCCACGAACAAAATCCAGCTTGTTGCCCAAAAGGGAATGATGTTTGAAGTTGGGGCGCTTCGGCCCTCCAATTCCAATTCGTCGTCCCCGACTAACAAGGCAATAGACTACCAATAGTACCGTCCGCTGAAAGCAGGAATCCCAATCCATGTTACCCATCCTTCTTCCCAGAACATCATCGCGGAGGCCGCGGGCATGTCTGCGCGCGCCCTCCTCTTGGCGAACTAACGCATCCCAGGTCGAAGAACGCGCCCCGTCTCGGCGCTTGGAGGCTCTCAGCGCATACCGCGGGGGGGGTGCGCGAGACGGCGGCGGTAGGTTTTGTGCCCAGATCCCAGGCCGCGAAGCCGCCAGCTCTCCACATTCGACCACACACGGCAGGTCACAACACGATCCGGTCGAGCCGAAGCGCCGGGTCCTTTGGCCGGCGTCCAAGCAACCTGTTTGTCTGCCTGGCTTCTTGCTTCTTGCCTGGCAGTCCGACTGCGGCGGCTTTGTTTCTCCCCGTTCTGGCTCTCTTTCTGGTTGGAAAATGCCCTTTCTGTCATGCCAAAGTGGGCCGTCCACGCGACAGCACCCGCGGACGGCCGTGGGCCATTCAACTCCTCCCCATTTCCATGCTAGTTCAATCTATCCAGGATACATTCGATCTCAATTCGTCAACCCAACCTGATAGAAGCCACAAGCCCGAACCCCACCTAATAACGAGAACCCTTCGCTCATAGGTGTCCTGATGGCCCTGGCAGATGATTAAACCACCTGGTACACCAGGAATCGCCATCTATTCTTCTACCAAAACAACCAAAAAGGATACCTATGCCTTCGCTGCGCATTCCGAAAAAAGAAGAAAAACAAAAACCTTGAACATGACGACTCGCGCCGAGCAGCGCTCCACCAAAAGGTTCAGCTCAAACCAAAGGAGGTGGAAGGACAAGGCCAGCATCCGGTCAAAGGGGCGGAGCACCTTGCTGACAGGCCCCACCCCCTTTTAGTTGGTTTGTTGGGGGACCAGATGGCCGTGTCTGAGAGTCTTGGAAGATTCCGTCTTGGTGGGCTTGGAAAAAAAACACAACCGTTTTGGGTGGTCGGCTTACTCGGATGAGAGAACCGTGCCCAAAGTCGCACTGCCCACAAAAAGGACTTGCTGAAGTCCCATCGAGGGCGTGTATCACACCATCAATCTGTCAGAGAGTGGTATGTTCACTGAAAGTACGGGCTTTTGACCCATGGCCATTTTGCCCCCCGCCCCAAAAAAAAAGAGAGTCCCCTGTGTCTGAAGAAAAAGCTCTACCCATGCAAAAGAGAACATCTTGAAACGGTCACCTTTAATGGTTGGGACGCCTACTGCGAAGGTCAATCAGCCAACACCTCGTTTTTCGAAATGCAAGAGTCCGCACCACGCAAAAGGCGGAAGAAGAGAAGCCGCTAGTGACCCCGACTTCCATTTGCTTAAGCCCCCTGGAAAAAAGAAAGAAAAAACATCCAGTAGTGATGAAACCATCCAGGGAAAATACAAACATATTCATTTCAGATGGAAGACTAGGTGCTCTGAGCCTATCGAAGCCAGGGCAACAAGTAACAGCTACACTTCGGTGGCCATGATGTCTAGCGGGCGCGCCCGCGGGATAGGTCTGCCGAGTTACGTCTTAAACCCCGAGGTACTCCCCCTTTGGGGAAAATCCAAATCCACCCTTGGCAGAAAAGTCGCCGGAAAATGGAGCCATGCCTTGATCTCCAGCCCCCAACATGCAAAGAGCACATTGTTTGGGAGCGATGCGAGCATAACATCTGGGTGCACGCACCAGTTTGGCACACCACAGCACATTGATCATGGTGTTGGAGGCAGGTCACAGCTATGTCGTATGTGCCACTTCTTGGCTGGACTTATTGCCATAGGCACTACTTGTCAAGGTGGGGAGAGGGTGCTGGAGGACAAGCAGCAAGGTCACATATTCAACCAGCAACTGCTCAAACGCCTTGCAAAGCTGCAGAGAACTCAGCATCCTGCCCGTGTCTTCTTGTGACTATTGTTGTTGCTGCTATATTTTCCTCTGTCACGAGTTGTGCCACGTGTGCTGCCAATGCCGCTGTCATATCGACTCCCGTTGTCATTGCCCAAGTCCGAGGATTGCCATCGGCTTGAGCCAAAACGCCAATGAACGGCCTCCAGTCTGAAGGACGAGTCACCTCGACATTCGGAAAGGGGGACTCGGCGAAGATGGCATGTCTGAATCGAGCAATGGGGTTTCAAGCTAGAAGCGGCCTCCAGAAACATACTTGCGCGAACGCTGTTCGGATTGGGTGGAACTATTGCTATTCTTCAGACCCCTCCGAAGAGCCTTTTCGGGAGCCCCTAGGTGCCTGGATGTGCCACATAGCGCCCATGTATACACTCATTTCTTCAGTGGATTGGCCAATTTTAGTCTAAACTCTCCATTTCCCGCTAAGATGATCTTCCCAAAAAGTAGAACGTCCAGGAACTCGGGAAGTGAGTACAGGTGGGTGCACAAAGGTTACCATATCACGGGCACCTACTCTAGGCTTCTCTGGCAAGGAGTCGGTGAAAGATGGGGCACGACCGTGGCCGGGAACGCCAGCTGCCCATTTCGCTCGAGGACATCCCGCTGGCGACTCTAGAGACATGCGGAGATCTGGCTAACCACCAGGGGACCGCAGGGTAAATCGTCCATGTTTCCATCTAGGTGAGATCTGGGCTTTTGCTGCAAAATCAGGGGACGCCAAGAATTGCAGGTCTCGTTTTGATTTGAAAAACCAACAGGAAGAAAATACAACACACTCATCCGCTCATCTTGGAATCTTTGCAGTTGAGTGTCCCCCGGCCCTTGCACTCAGAGTGAGGGAAAGTGGTTGCGGGAGGTTTTAAGTTTCTACAGGCGATTGATGTTCTCCATGAATCCTGCAAAAAGAGTTGTGCCCCAAACTAGCCAGCCACTTCCTACGCTCGCATGCAAGGTTGCTGGATTTCTCATCTCCCGGACGAAAAGCACAAGCAAAACTATAAAAGAATGACTGGGGCTGCTGGGTGTTCCCTCGAAGCGGACTTGGACCCTATTGTGGTAGTCCTTTGAAAGGCAAACCAAGAGGGGGATTAAAAAAAAGAAGAAACGGGATCCTCGAAAGTTGCGCGTTTTTCCTTGCCATGGTTGTGCACTTTAAAATGGGCGTGTTGCCAACTTGAGAGACCCCTAAAACTTCTTTTACATGATTGGTTCCTTCTGGAGATACTTGCAAAACCAACTTTTCAAGGAGGGGTCCCAAAAGACCTGGAACCCACCCGTTGGACAGCGAACTGCGCCTGGTTCAGCCTTTGCATCTTCATCCTGCGTGCAGGATAAACAGGGACCAGAGCTCAAGCCCAGACAGCTAAGGCGAAAAAGTAGATGCCGCAAGTCGCTTTCTGTAGATATGTGAGACTTTTTGGTGGACCCCAATGGTGGGTTCCCTTTAACCCCCCCCCCCCAATCACAAAAAACACGGCCAGACGGTGGTTTCCCTTCAACCCCCCCCCCCCCCGCCTCAGAAAAAAAAAAGCCCTCAAAAAAAGACAGACCCAAATAGAAAGAGTTGCACCCGACGCTCTTCCGCCCAGGTGGAAGGATCGGATTGTAAGATTGCCTTTGAGGGGAAAATGAGCTGAATATGGCAAGCCGCCCATAAACACGGTTCTCCATACGATGTACCCATACTGTGGGAACCCCTGTCAAAGATCTTGGACAAACTGAACACCCGTTGTTGCTGACAGCCAACGGCATATGTCAGAAGAACATGAGACTGCCAAGAATCAAGGGGACCCAAATCGGAACATGGGGGGATGCACAAGCGCGCTGCACAGGCTGGAACAGAGGTGCACCAACTGGATTCCAAGAGGGGAACCGTGAGTTAGAATGGCGTGGCTTTCCTGAAAAGAGATGGGAGCAACCATAGCCGGCAAAGTGGAAACAAAAGCGGAGTGGAATTCCGGGACGTTTCAGAGCAAATGGCCCTAAACCCCTTCTGTCAAACCAGAGTGACTGATCCCCATCCAATTACTTTGTCGCTTTAGAGAAAAAATTCCCTTTCGCCCAGAGAAGGTGGAGTTCCTCAAAACCCAATCTGCCACCGCGCATCCGCGAATCGCCTTTTCTGGGATTGAAAGCACTGTCGGTCTTGGGCACTCTCTTCGCGCGTTCAAAGCGCTCGCGATTCGCGCGATTCACCTGCCCACCCAGCAACTTCGTCGTGCCAGATGCACAGGTGTTGCTGCTGCACAAAACGAAAGCTGGACCTTTGTTTTCAGAACAACCCACTCTGAAAGTGAGGATGCTTCGTTTCAGAACTGTGGGAACCAAGCTCACATGACAGCTGTGTGCCCCTTCCGAGATTCCGTCCAGCTTCACTGCATGCTCATCAGCAATCTTATCCTGATCCTCGAGGCAGTTCGCAACATTTGGCCATCTCTAGTAGTCTCGTCAGGTCTGCAAGCGGTAGGGTCAAGCAGAGATGCGAGAGTGGAATCAGGTTGAATTCTTTGGGTAGCCAAAAAGTTGCAGGGTCGAAAGTTGTGAGAAAAGTGTGTTCAGCTTGTTTAGTGAGTCGCCTAGGCATTGAATAGTCTTTGTCATTGAAAGCTGGATCAACCTCATTCGTCCAGCGAACAAATGGCGAAATAGCTCGGCGATCTCGCCAGCAATTCCCAACCAAACTCGCGCGGAGACGCGCTTGCTCCGTGCCCTCGGAAAGAAAACATGAACGGCTGACCACAGCGGAAAGTCAAAATTGCTGGCCCTGCAAGTGAGTGGAAAATCGTTGATTGAAGGTCGAAGCAGAGACCAGCCAACAATGTGTAACAACAGTACTGCCACTCTGGGGGGCGGGGGGGGATAAGTCGCTGAGGAGCATCCCCACGACAGAGCTAGGTTGCCTTCAAGCACAACCTACGATGCACCAGGTTTCTCTTGCGCCCTTTTGGGCATTTTATATGGAATAAACCTGTGGGTCTGTCTGAAATTACTTGGTTGGTGTAACGACCCCTCTGCGAAAAAGTTGAACACGTTTGTTGGGCATGGAACATCCGCTTCCTGTTTCAACCACAAGAAATCCAGTCCAAATATCCTTGACCAAATCGCCATAAAGATGCTAAAGACTTGTTGTGGGCATGGAAAATAGCCAAAAAGATCCGTTGCCAGATAGCCATCAAGACTCAGATGCCCAGTGGATTTCCACGGGAGGGTTGGTTGGTTGACTTTAAAAGGGGGGAACCCTTCCCAATAAAGAGTCGGAAAAAAAAGGGGGCGGAATCCACTGGGCACCAGGGAAGATTAGCCATAAAGATGTTGAAAGCTTGTTGTGGGCATGGAAAATAGCCATCAAGATCCGCCGGATAGCCATACAATGCCCAGATTCGGCAACCCCCGTTTTTGGATCAACCTCGAGAACCCGCGACCGATCACCGGCCAGCGGCTCACGCGGAAGCGCCGGCTCACAATGGCAGCGGCTCGGAGATACACGCCTCGGACCGGAACGACTTCGCGGTCCGCGGGCTTTTTGCGTTTTTTCCCACTTGGGGAACGAGTCAAGAGACCATGGAAAGGCAACCCTGGGGTCAAAAGCCAACATATCCTGCCAACCGAAAGGTGGAAATGGGGTTGTGTTACTTTGAAGTGGCTAAGGGAGCAAAGGACACCACCATGCTTGACGATCCTCACGCGCGCGCAATCACATGAGCTATATTCAACTCTGGCAGAAGCACAGCTTGAGTGCGGGAGCCAGGTATGAACTCCTGCCCTCAGATCTGCGAACAGTTTAACTTTTAGTGGGTTAAGTGGAAACTACCACTAAACCCGAAAAGCCTAAGAAGCTAAGGACGGCTGGGGGCCGGCGAGATACCATTCATATTCCCAGCCATTGGAGGGCCCATATGGCCATGGAGTCTCTTGGGGAGGGCGAACCCCCCTTCCGCGTACCTGGGTTCCAAAGGGCTCCTCTTTTTGTGCGCATCCCCTTGGCTTTTTGGAGGGAAACCAAACAAAACACCTCAATCCACCGGTCAAAGGGGCCATTCCCAGGAGCTAACCATTGTGTGACAAAATGGACCAAGATTGAGGTTCAACCTGGTTTTCCAAGAAAGTGAGCAGAGAAAGGTGGTTCCACTTCACGATTCCCTTCTTTTTTTTGGGGGGGGGAGGGATCCGATTCCTTGAGGGGGAAAAAAAAAAAAGACAGAGAGAGGCACGCCTCCACGGACCAAATCATCGGGGAAGCCACTCGGATTCCCGGCCTGTGGATACCAGCCAGATTCGCCTGCTTCGTTGAGGGGCCTCAGCGAAGCAAGGCAAGCCGCACGTTCGAAGGGATTGGAAGTCTTGGTGCTTCCCATGACTAGGCCACTACTTAAAGGGGCGATCGGGTACGTCAGGTATGTGGTTAGTAAGCCTGGTTATAACCCTAAACATGGCTTTTGTGGGTTACAACCAGGCTTACTAACCCCATACCTGACGTACCCGATCGCCCCTTTAAGTAAGCCTCCCCAGGCTGTGCCCATGAATTCTCAGCTCTTTGGCCGCCTGGCCTTTGACAAGATTGGTCAGCAAAACCTCTGGATTCGCCTGGCTTGGTCTTCGACCCCTACACATATTGCTTGTTGTGGGCTGCGCTCATCATGTTGCGTGAAGTCGTCTAAAGTTGGTGCCGTCGGAGCAGGGAGCAACTTTACCTGTGAGTGGAGAAACACGTTTCCCAAACTGGTGAAATGATGACAGGTCCACCCAAAGTCCAAAAATAACACTCGATATCCGCACCAATTTACGGTAACACAGTCCCCCGATAATTACCAACCACTTCCGATACTGATGAAGTAAACGCGAGGTTTTGGAAGACCCTCCCTTAAGGCCCATTGGGCTTGTCCAAGTGATGCAAGTGGCCAAATGGCCAAATAGCTACACATGATTCTCTTGTGAGTTAATCACTTCATTTGACTTCAAATTCCCCCCCCCCACCAGTCCTATTGCCATTGTCTAGGCCCTTGCAATCAAAAGAAGCTTGGAAGGAACTTCCGTACTGGAACTAATTGAGCTGTGTTTATCTGATGAACATGTCATGCTTGCAAAAAACACTATGGAAAAAGTCGAAAATTGCGAGAACTGAGGAGTTGAAATAAGCCGAAACTTGCCTGAATTCAGTGAGCATGTGTGCAAACCACCAAAATGAAGTGGATATATTACATAGATTAGATAAACTAGATAGACCTGCATCTTCATTTGAGCAAAACAAAGTGCGCACAACGGAGAAGTGCGCGTTTCAATCAAAAAACGCGCAAAGTTCCAAGAACTGCGCGAGGCGTTTTTGTTGCTGGTTTAGGCAAAGGTGCGGGGTGTGTATAGCCTGGACATGCACCTGTCAAGCTGTTCAAAAATAACTAGGCAAGGATACATGCGCCTTTTCGGCCAGAACTCGCCTAGATGATCCAAGGAACCAAAGGGCATTTTGGCTATTGACCTGCGGAGCGTTGTCGGGAATAGCCTTCAACATTGCCAAGCCAGCTTGACAGTCAAGGGAAACAAGTTTCAGATCCTTGAGATTGCAAGAGATCCGAACGGCTCTTCCAAGTGGCGCAGCTTCAACTGACGACCACATGTGGCTCAAAACCGATCTTTTGGTTGGCAATTTGGGCGCTTTAGACATCGTCTGCCTAATTAAAAGGTCGAAAACGCGCGCATGCATGCGCACACTTTTCGTATTTGCGCGCAATTGCGGATATTTGCGCGATAGTACCGGATTTTTGCGCGCAAATTGCGGGCTGACAAGGCGCCGAAAATCGACTAATTTCACGTTGTCTCAACAACAACAAGTGTGGCGCAAGCACAGTTCTGGAGCAAACAGCGGATCCGTGCAAACCCAGGCAATACTTGCGAGCTTGGAGCTATTGACGGGGCCAAGCGGGTTGCTAAATCAATGGCCACAAAGTGTCAAGTGCAAGTGATAGCTGGTACTTGTGCCGGGTGCCATGTGTGCCACAAATTTTCTGCCTAAAACAGGCTTGGGTGGAGACAAAAGAAGAGCTAGATATGCTGCAAACATCAAGGACTTCAACAAACAGCTGCGCCGGCACGGGCACGAGCAGCGCAGTATCGATTGTTTCCACAAGTAGTACCGACTTTGGCTACCAGAGGAGTTTCATCCGAAAAGTGCGCAAATCCCTCAAAAGTGCGCAAATTCCAAAAAAGCGCGCAAAGACACCACAAAACGCGCAATCAAGCATTTGAGCAGAAAAATGTGCGCAAACGAAGATTCAGGGATTAGATGGACTCGATTGGTTAGATAGAATATAGATAGATTTTACAGATTAGATAGATTAGATAGATTCGCTAGATTAGATAGATTCGCTAGATTCGATAGATTCGCTAGATTAGATAGACAAGCTGCGTTACGTAGATAGATCAGATAAATAAGATAAGATGCGATAAGATGCGATAAGATAAGATAAGATAACATAAGATAAGATAAGATAAGATGGATGGATGGATAGATGGATAGAAAAGTAGAAAAAAGAGGCAACTTAAGAAATAAAGAGAGAAAGAAACGAGAAAATACATCGCCGAAGTTGCTTGTCCTGCTGTTGGGTACATGTTACATTGGATTATCTAATGCAATCCTGTTGTTGATCTGGCCCTTGAGCGTGTCTTTCTCTTTATTGAAGTACCCTTTTCGTGTGGGTTTAAAACGGACTTTCAAAGAGAAACCACCAATCACGAGCTCCCTGAATTTTCAAGCCAAACCAACCCCTGGCGTGGGCTCTAAAAGATTGCGTCAACTCGCTGACCGAGGCCCCGGGCGTCATCTTCGCGCCGTAGCTCCAGCCGTTGTGGAGGCTCTGCACCCCGACCAGGTCCCCCGCCGCCAGCGCGAGGCCCTGCGCCTTTTTGACCCGTCGAACTCGGAGACGCGCGGAAGGAACGGAGGTTGAAATCCCCAAGACGGGCTTCCTCCATGGGCTGCAGAAAACACACCAAAACGAACTTTTCAGGATTGGTCTAAGGGTTGACTCCGATTCCATTCTCTTCATAAACCACCGATATTGGTTGTGAGGGTCGTGGCTTCCTGCCATGCAGGTTTGAGGGTCGTAGGTGGGGCTATTTCCCCTTTAAACATCACCCCGAAAGGAAACTCACTTTAGGCACCAAAAGGTGATGTTTAAAGCCACCAAAAGGGGAAATATAGGGAGCCCTGGTTGATTCCAATTCTATTCCCTTAAGCGCTCTCTTCAGAAACCACCCATTTTCCCAGGCTGCCTATTCTCGAAGAGAAGGATCCCTGAAGAGAATGGGGCAGGTGCAGCTAGAATCTGGATGAGAAATCGGTTGGCTGAACCCTTCCCCCCAACACAGGCTCCTCCAAACATGAGCTGCAGAAAAACTCAAAAACACACACACACACACACACACACACACACACACACCCACACCCACACCCACACCCACACACACACACACACACACACACACGCACACACGCACACACGCACACACGCACACACGCACACACGCACACACGCACACACGCACACACGCACACACGCACACACGCACACACGCACACACGCACACACGCACACACGCACACACGCACACACGCACACACGCACACACGCACACACGCACACACGCACACACGCACACACGCACACACGCACACACGCACACACGCACACACGCACACACGCGCACACACGCACAAACGCACACACGCACACACGCACACACGCACACACGCACACACGCACACGCGCACACGCGCACACGCGCACACGCGCACACGTGCGCACGCACACGCACACGCACACGCACACGCACACGCACACGCACACCCACACTCACACACACACACAGACACACACACACACACACACACACACACACACACACACACACACACGTCACCAGGGGCGGGTGATTGCGCCCTTGGATTTTGGTGGGTTCGCCTTTGCACCTCAGCTTTTGTTGCAACAAACAACCCATTTGATTGTGATTTAGGATTCACACGCATTCGCAGCTGTCTCAGTTTTTGGGCAACAACAAACCACATTCGTTGATTGGTGCATACTTGGCGAGCCTAATCCTAAACTAATGTGAAGGTAGACAATACCAGGACACCTGGCGTTGGCAGCTTTTCAACTCTCTCAGACAATTCCATGGCTGGGCCTTCTTTCAATCGCTTTGGATGGATTCACCCCCTGGAATCTTGGATGAGGAAAGGCAACAAGCCCTTTTGGAACGATCCTTCAAGGGCAAATATGAGGCATGACACCTGATAATTATGAGGAGTCTACCCAAGACCATTCAAACATTGAAAAGGGTGATCGCACCATTTTTCATGGCTGGGACTGTCTCCTGATTTGGATGTATTGACCCAGGTTTTGCTTGCAGCTCATATACTCAGTTGCCCCTTAGGGACCTGGAAATCAACGGTCAACCTTAGGACATGACCAGGCACACCGAAAGCTCAAGATCTCGATTCGCTTGCAAGAGAGATGACAAACCCCTGGATCGCTCCGAGCACCTGACCCATCCCGAATCTACGAGCCCCACCTGATGTGCATGCAGCGCTGGGTCGAAGGGGCTGTGCCTCAGGTCACTCGAAGCTCGCGCCGAGACTCCGAGATCTGAATCACAGCTGCTGATGCTGTACCCTTTTTGTTGGGCTTCGCCCTACAAAGTCCAGCAACAAAATGCGTCTCAGCCCCAGAGTCGCAAGTCGCACATCCTCTACTTGTGTAAGAGCAAGAGCCTACCAGTCACGACTCGTCGATTCAAACACTTGAAGCCAGTGTGCAACATGCTGGAACCGTCTGTCACATTTAGCTTTCCCAAAGCTATTCGGCTCGGCTCGTCCAGTGTAGGCACGCGCCATGCCATGCGAGCCCAAAAGTCCCGAGATGGCCTACAGCTCCAGGAATTTGTGTCTAGGAGAAATCGCCAAAGGCCACGGCATCTTGAGAAGGGCAATCCGCAAACGAAAAACAAATGCGTGAAAGGCATGGGAGCTTCTGTGTCAACCCACCAAAGGGAGCCTTCAAGATACAAGTGGCCAGCTTCCATGATGGCAAACCAAGGTGGCAGGTGTGCGCCCTTTGAAAGGATTTGAGTGTGATCATCATTTCACTCAATAATACGTTGGATGTCCTAAGTGTTGAGTTGCCTTCTTCCCCTACCTGCAACATCACGGCAGCCACAGTGGTTTTGTCTTCTGTGCCCTCTCCAAAGACAAAGTTAATTTGCCGTTGTTCCCACAAATAATAAAGTTGAGTTGCCTTCCTCCCAAAAAAAAACACAGAAAAAGTAGGCTTTTGCCTTCCTTGACTTCCTTCCCCTCAAGCCTTTTTGCCTTCCCAAGAGCACTTTGCCTTCCCCTTCAACCCCCAAGTCCCAACCCCAGACCAAAATTCATTAGTATTCTCATTTTTAGCCATGGGATTTACTAGATTGTATGTATTTTTGCCGAATCCAAAAAGGACATCACTTTGGCTTTTGGCCATTTCGGACAAAAAGGAGTTGGAGGGTCCATAGACCCCCCACGAGCGGCCGGGCATGGGCATCGGTCCATCGGTCCGGGCGCCCGGGCACCGGGAAGAGCGCCGGCGTCAAGACGCAGCGCGGCACCCAGGCCGCCTCCGACACGGGAGACCACTCCTCCAAGCGAGCCGCCGGTCGAGCGGCGGACAAGGCGGGACGAGGCGCTCAGCCACCAAGCCGATTTGCTGCAAGGGGATAAGACCAAGCATGGAGATGGGTGGGTCGCCAAAAGGCACCTCGCTCTTTCTCTGGCGTGTGGGAGATTGCACTTCAAAGGGGGCGTCCCCCCCTCGAAAAAAAGGAAAGAAGAAAAAACATCAAGTCAAGGCCCCCGTTTTTCAGGCTTCCTTGTAATCTATCCAACCCAACGGCATCATCCCGCCGAAAGGCGACTGATTTGAAATAAGTATTTCCAAAAGGTGCTGTTTGAAACCACCCTTGAAGTGGAAACCTATGGGGAGCCTTGCTTTTGCAAATTGACAGGTGGGATTTCGCCTTCACCTGCACACTTCTCTATAAGCGAATCCGAGTGCGCTTTAGAAATTCCAAAGGTCGGAAGGTATCAAGAAGAAGACGTGAGCACTGCTGCATGGCTGCTCTTGGTGTTTCCCAGTGAAGTGGTTGAGCGATAGATGTGGCTCCACGCGTTTGTGAAGCACAGTTGCTAGACAATGTTTGTTTGTACGTCGGCGAAGTGTTGACATACTTGTGATCCATGCCGGACATGTTTGAGCCGCAAACTGAAAGCAAGTTCTGAACTGATGGGGGACGGCTGCTCTGTCTGGTACAAGCATGCTCCCTTTCTTTCAGCCTTTGAAGCCTTCTCGATATCGCCTGCATTTTAATTTCAGGAATTCAACATGAATTGTTATTTTGCACCTAGAACGGGTTGTTCGATTGGGTTTCCCAACGCTGGAAGAAACATTATGTTGGCTTGAGTGGGAGAATTAAAGTTTGGGCTCCACTAGGAGTGCAACCCCCCCCCCCACGCCTGAAAGTCACCCCCATTCTTATCTGATTGCATACTCATTACCCCTTGTTGAAGGGAGTTGTTTGGGGAGCGTGAGACTAGACACTATTGAACCCATACTCGGGGTATTCCAAACTACCCCAGCTATGTGCACATTCCATGGACATGTAGATCCCTATTTGTTGGACCGGATGTAAAATATTTTCCGTTCAGAGATTCCATAAAGGGTAAGAGCAAATGTCCAATCAACTGCGTGCTTGCTTAGAGTTGAGAGGCGAACGAAAGGAAGTTCACCTTCTCCGCCTTTTCGGGGGGTTCCACTTTGGAGAAACCCAACTTGGTTGCTGGCGAGACCCTTCTGCAACACATGTCTAGCATTTTGTGAGTTCAATTCCCAAAACCCAGAAAAAACGAACGATTTCCCCCAAAAAACGAACGACTTCCCCAGAAAACACGAACGATTTCCAAAAACAGAGGATCCGTTGCCCAGTAGCAATCGAGCCAAGTCCCCGCTTTCTCGGGCTCCTGGTACAGCTGGCCCAGCGCCCACTCGCCGCGCTCGTCCAGTTGGGACACCCAGACCCGCGCACCACGCTGGACCTGCCCGGGGTGGGGGGGGGGGGGGAAAAGGGGAAAAAAACGAAGGAAGGCGCATGTAGACATGGAGGTTAATGTATTACAAAGACCGGACCTGTGGTAAACCATGGTGGTTGGAGAGTCCAATATAGTTTACCCTGAGCCACAAATCATCAAACAACAAATACCAAACAGTCTCATTTTGACAAATGACCATGGCCATTTACCCGGCAGGTCCAGCTGCTCAGGGTCAACCACGGGCGCTTTAAGAGTCCAATATGGTTTATGGTTTACCCTGAGCCACACATCATCAAACACAAATAAACAACTCCCGAAAGGCCTCAGTTTCACGAGCGACCGGAAATCATCAAACGACAAATACCAAACAGCCGCATTTTGACGAGTGGCCAGAGATCAGCAAACACATCCCCATTTTGACAGCTTGACTAGTTCAAAGATCTTGAGGGTTCAGTGCTACCAAACCACATTCTTTGCAACCTCCGCCGAAATTTCAAACACAACCAAACAACGAAATACTTGAAGAACATATAGAACAGTATAGATGATCCACCCATGGCTGGTCTTCGGTTTGACCGAAAGGCCCTAAATCTGTTGGAAATCAATGCCTTGTCCATTGCGAAACGCTGTTGCCTACGTCAAGGAATCAAGCTATGAAATCATGGAAGCTAATTGTGGTAGCTGGAGTCCCTGAGAATAGGTAAGCCAAGTCCAATATTGTTGGGCCAAACACCTGTTTTTACATGCTCGAGCGGCTGGCGTTGAAAGCTCTGGTGTCAAAACAGTGGCAGTATAAGAATTCACCAGCCTCCCAATGAAATACAAACCTGGAGGTCGCAAACCTGGTTTGTACGGTCGCCGTAATTCACCTCGCCCAAATGCTCGAACCTCAAACATGCATGCTAGAAAGCGTACTAAGGTCTGGGTGTTTCACCCAGATTCCTGTACTTGGAGCCGATAAACCTGCATAAGCCAGGACACAGTTGCGCCAAACTCAAACCCCACCAAATTCGACCTCAAAGCTACGCTGGCACTGAGCCCGATGTGCCCACCCAACCAGGATTAGTCAACCACAGACCAAACACAAAACGCACCCCAAGTCTGAATCCCACCCCAATCCCGACCGAAGCAATTTGTCCGGCCTCAGACAAGACTACAATCCAAAATGCAGCACGCGGCTGCTTATAGGGAACAACACAAAGCAAGTCAAGACAATGCTGGGGGTTTGCTTGTTGGCCCCCTTTTTCCCATCCCCCCCATGTCCACCGCTGACTGGAAAACCGACCAACTCAAACTCTGGCTCCACCAATCTGCTTGAGAGACAAGAGCGCTAACGCATTCAGTTCTATTGAGCGTTATCCTTTGCGTGTATCCGTTCCTGACAAGCATGTCGCAACTCTACCACAAGCGCGACTTTCCAGTTTGCAAATAAGACTTCCTTTCTGAGAAAGCGCCTCCAAAAAAGAAAGGCGTGTCCAAAAACTAAACTTGGCCGAACCGCCCTGTCCCCTGAGGTCTGCACCGGCAGCGTGCCAGTAGTCAGCCCCTGGCACTGTGGGGCACTGAAGGGTCCTCTGCGGTCGGTTTCTTTGGCTCCTTTGGCCCTGCATTCCGTTGATTCTCTGGCTGTCCAATGGCTTTCCTTCGATTTTCCCGGAGAAAAAAAAAGGGGGAAAAACACTGGGCAGCCTGCCAAATATCTTCTCGACTTTTGCTGAATTCGGGGAAAAACGAGCCTGTTCAACAAGCGTGTGAACAACTCCAATGCAGTCCAAAGGATCTCATGGATGCAATCCAACATTGTAGGCCCTTTGGTCAAAACATTGTCGGCTTTGTGCATGCCCTTTCAAGAAGGTCTCTCTCTCCCCGTAGCGACAATTCAAAACCCTTTTGCCAGCCTTCGGTGGTTGCTGGAAGCAGGGTAGATGTGTCTCTCTTTCTTGAGGATACGGTGGATGCCCCCTTCAAATTGCAAGTAAGTCAACCACAAACCATGGGAATTTACAGGGTTTCCTTTGTTCCCTACTTGCAATATTTAGGGCATCAACCGTATCCTTCTTTGGGTTGTTTTGATTGATCTCGGGACGCAATAGGAACACACCCCATGGCGGAGGTCCCTTTCAAGCCGAAAGGGACCCACGTCTCACGGCTGCTCGAGGCTCGAGGCTCCACTTCATGGGATCTTTGTTGACATGTTGCATTCCTATTGGCTCACTCAATACCATCCAACAATGACATGGACATAGATTTGCGAGCTTGTCAAATTTGAGGTTGGTCCTTGGTGGTTGACCTGAACAAAGTGTCATTTGGGTACCATCCGGCGCCCCACCTTGGCATCAACGAATTTTCTCCATGGTTCCTTCTGGGTGGATTGCAGAGCTTCTTTGCTGCTTCCTTTGAAATTTGAACAGAGTATGACCAACTTCCATTTGCTGTTTGACTCCCTTGTTGGTTTTAAGAGGACTTATAACTACTGGACATGTTTCTTTTTCCAGGTGACTTAAGCAAATAGAAGCCAAGCTTGACACGGAGTCATTCGGTTCTACCTGCTGGCCTCCTACTTTCAAAATCTTGTTTGGGCCATGTCCACCCCGGGATAAGGTCTGGGTACGTCGAACCTTTCTTGCTCTTCGACGTGTACAGCGCTGTAGTTTTATGGTGCCTTTTGAAGGTTTGAGTCCGTTGCCGGTCTCAGAGCGGCCCTTGCAAAACCATGCTGCCATTTTTGCAGTCCATGTCCGAAGAGGTGCTAGAAAAGCAGAGACATCGACAGCTAGCAACTTGGTGCGTCCCAGGTTGCATTCGCTTCAGTGTATCCACTGGGGCAGGGCTGTGAGGAATGCCCACTTCTGTGATGAAAACAGAAAGGGCTTCCCAAAGACCAATTTCTTCATAGCAAGGGGGATTCCCTTACAAGGTATCACAGAAGTGGGGACTAACCCCGAGTGATCCCACCCTGCACTGAGCAATTCTTGAGATACGTCCAACTGGTCCCCGTGCCCCGGCCTCCCAAGTGGAGGTCGCCAAGAACATGCCCACAGCCAGCGCAGTGTGGGGACCTCGGGCCCAAGATCTGCACGAGTCCCAAAACCAGAGGTGCCTTTTGGGCGAAAGTGCGATCTATGGATGGGCGGTTCTCGGAATCAGAGACCCTTCAGGTAGGGGGTGTACCTTTTGGTTTCCGCTTCAAATTCCATGCAAGGGGATCCTATTCTGAGAAACAACCCGATGTGTTTCGTTCCTCATTCATGGAATCATGCGCAGGGTTTTCTGGCATCCGGGCGTAGTCGCCACAGTTACCCTCTTTTTGGTAGATGCGTTCACCTTGTCTCGGATATAAAAGTTGCATCATATCGGTTGGGAGCCTCTTGTTATTTGTTATTTTGTTGTTTTGTCTTGTTATTTGCTATATATATATATATATGTTGTTTTGCAAACACGTCACTGAGAACGAGGCAAAGGAATGGGGAGAGGGAGAGGGGAGGGGCATGCCTCATGTTTCTGCAGTTGCTTTTCTTTTGGTGGGTTAAATGGAAATCCCCACCAAACACAACAGAGCCAAAAAGCTCAAAAAGCTAAGGGGATGGCCAAGTCGAAACTTGCGGTTGTTGTAGCCACGCGGGCCAAGTCGAAACTACTCTATAGTTTCAGTGCAAGCTCCAAGGAAACAGCGCTTCGAGCCATGCAGAGTACAGACAAGAAACAGGGGATCGGGGGAGATGACGAGGGTGCAAAGATTACATCAACCAATTTGATCCTTCCGAAAATTGAGCTGGGTTGCGTTGCCCCCCCCCCCCAGAAAAATAAGCAATACAAGCACAAAACAAACAGAAGGTTGTGCTGAATCAGAGTGGAAATTGCAGCACGCTGAAACCTCAACGTATTGGTAAAGTTCTGCTGCGTGTCGCTGCACACGCGCGGCATGCTGAACTCGTTGGCAACAACAGCATTTGTTGGCACAAAAGTTGACCGTCTATTCTGCACAAATATCTGGGGCCCGCGTAAAAATTGTGTGTCCGTGTTGCTTCCCTGAGATTCCCTTTTGGCTCGAAAGCCATCGACGCTCAGAACGCCAAGCTGAGCCTCGGGCTCTCTCTCGCGGTCTTTTCCGCGGCCGCGGGATCCGCGGCCTTTTCGCCGGACCCCGCATGCACCTTGGCCAGAGATTTCGCAGGTGGAAGGCGCCGTTGCCGGCTCTCTGGTTTTTGAAATATTGTCTCCATTTGTCAGGACCCATGTTTCACAACTTCATAACTAAGGCGCTGTTCAGGCGTCAAAACACCAACCTCCCCGCCCTTCGATATACCACAGCGGTGGAATTCCCAGAAAGTGGACTGATTTTCGAGAACTCCATGTGTCTTGTGTTTTGGGTTCCCCTTGTTTGGTGTTTTCAAAGGGAAACCAAAGGAAAATAGCCATTTTCTTTGAGGGGGGGTCCCTAAAAAAAGACAGACCCATGTACAAAGCCATGGGCCGGGTTTATGCTTTGTATTCCGTTTTGTGTTGCCCGGAATCAACCAACCCCGAAAAGGCTGCCCTGACAACACAATCTTGATGTGTCTCAAACAGCAAATGGGTGGCTGTCGTTTGGGTTGCTTGAAAAGCCAGCCGAAAAGGGTATCTTCAAAAGCACACGGACAAACAGACAGACAGACAGACAGACAGACAGACAGACAGACAGACAGACAGACAGACAGACAGACAGACAGACAGACAGACAGACAGACAGACAGACAGACAGACAGACAAGCAAACAGACACACAGACAGACAGTCAAACAGACAGACAGACAAAGGATCAAACAAACAGACACAAGAAACGACAAGAAACAAACAGACAGACAGACAAACAATCAAACAAACGGCCAGAAGGAACGACAAGCAAAGAAACAGACAGACAGACAGACAGACAGACAGACAGACAGACAGACAGACAGACAGACAGACAGACAGACAGACAGACAGACAGACAGACAGACAGGCAAGCAAGCAAGCAAGCAAGCAAGCAGCAGGCAGGCAGGCAGGCAGGCAGGCAGGCAAGCAAGCAAGCAAGCAAACAAGCAAACAAGCAAACAAGCAAACAAGCAGACACACAATCAAACCAACAAACAAACAGGCAAACAAATTCATGAACAAACAAGTAAGCAAACAAGCAAACAAACTCAAGACTTCGCGAAGCCCCGCGCCTGGCAATTGCCGAGGTGTGCGGTGTAGTCCAGTAAGGCGCCACTCCACCTAAGCGGCGAGCGCAAAGGCCAGCAGCCTGCTGGCCCCACTTAGGTTCGCCGCTTCGAAAGTCACATTGCGCTGAAGGGGAACCAGTTTCTGACTTTGACAACCAGAAGCAGACAATAAAACATCACCCCCACCAAGGGATACTCACCTTTCAAACCCAGAAAGGTGATGGCTAGAACCACCACAAAGGGAAATATAGCGAACCCTGATGAAACACCAGTGGTACACAAAGAAGGCTGATTGGATCTTGCTGGGGTCAGCGCCTAAGTTTCTTGGAAGGGAAACTGCACGTGGCCAGCAAGTCGCCGACATATGCCAAGGCCGCCGCGAGCATGTGCCTCTGGAGGATTGTCCTCTGGAGGCTTCCAGCTCGGGGTGGTACAGGCACCTCACCTGCCATGTGGAACCCAGACCCGGAATGGTCCCTAGATTCTTCCCAATTCCCACGCCGCAAGGGCCAAAAAAGTGATGTTCACAACCCTCTTAAGGACCCATTGCTTGTCTGTCTTTTTGAGGGAACCCTTCGGGTGCTGTCCCCTTTATTCCTTTCACTCTCACAAAAAAACGCCTCAAAGCAAGAACAGGTCGACCTGCCCCCCACCCCCTTCCCTGCTACCCACCCCCCAACCCCACCCCCCCAACCACCCCCCACCCCCACCCACCCGACGGACTGGCTTTGCTCGCCTTCATGCCGCTGTAGAGCCGATGCAGCAGCGCCAGGCCCGGCCCCGTGGCGCTCTCCAGCTGCACCACGTCCTGCTGCCGCACCGGCTGCTGGCAGCCGGGGCCTCACACCAACCGCACCACCCGGCGGCGGGAAAACCGGGTTTCCCCGTGTCTCCCATCCCGGCGGTACAAATGGAGAGAAAAAAAAGCCGGGGTGAACTTAACTTAACTCAAGCAATTCCCACGAATGTGAGAAGAAAACCTGGGCGGATTTTTGTGCAGATCCTAAACTCCAACCCAAGCTTGCAATTGTATCACTGAAAAGGAGTGCACAGACTATCGCCTGTTGGACTACCTTGGCAAAATCATGGCTGAAAACATGGCTGTCGGAATGGGACAGCCAAATCAACAGGTCTGTGCGATTTGGACCAAGGTCCAAATGAATTGATAACCAAACGTAAACGCCAAACGAAAACTCAGGAGCTCCTGTGGAAAGTCAAGTTTTTGTTATTTTGCCTATATGGGTCTGTCTGCTTTTTGAGGGTACTCCCTTGTTTGGTGGCTTTAAAGGGAAACAAAACGGGCAACCCACCCATTTTTGGGCCCGATAAACGGCACACGCTCGGTGATGATAGCGAGCGTAGGCAACATGACATCAGGTCGGACAGGTTGGTGCTTGAACTCCCGAACGAGCCAACAAGTGTTGGCCTGATATTGCTTCACAACCCTTGGTATGGTAGCAAAAGCGTTGATTCTTGCAGCCCCCAACTAAAATGAACACAACCAAACAAGAAACCAAAAAAGCATGCCAAGAACAGTGCAAATTGACGTGAACCGTCAACTCCGGAACAAACATGCCTTTCTGAGAGCTCATCCCAAGGGCGCCCTGGATGTCCCCCTTCGAATGAGGAAATTGATGCTGGGTTCGCAACCATCCGCCGAGACTTTCGGAGGTCCGAAAAGCTGGAAATTGAGGGACTCCTGAAAAGACCGTCTCGTAGAAAACTGATCCTTGACCATACAAATTACAACCAATAGCCAAATTTTTACCATCCACTACAAACCCAGTAGACTCGCCGGAGGCGACTATTTTTTATTTTGCTTCATTGTTGTTATGTTTTGTTTAAAGGAAAAAAAGTCGTCAACCATCCACTACTCACTCAGCCGGAAAATGATCGAAATGTCCAAATTGTACCCATCCCTTCAACAAGGGGGTCACCGGATTTCCCCTTCAAACGCTGCAATTTACTGGTGGTTTTCATTGAAACTGGCACTGGAGATTCCCTTTGGGACATGGCTCGGAAACCCTCCGCAAAAGGAAACTCCTGTTTGGCTCTGGGGAGGGGCAGGGGATCCCTCCGGTCCCCTTTTTCTCCCCGGCTGAGGCAGGCGCAGACCACCTGGGGCTTCGTCTGCTGCACCCATTGGTTGAAGCAGCCGGAGCAGAACATGTGCAGGCAGCTGCGCATCAACTTGGCGAGATCGCGAGATCGCGTCATAGGGCCCCAGGTCTCTTTAGGGCATTCTCACTTGCGCCGAGCGGAACATTTGCGTGATCGCCGTTTTGACTTGACGAAAATGGGAACAACGTGGGTCCATTGGCGTGAGAAGTGAGCTGATGCCGAGGCCAAGCCGGGCTGGTTTTGTCGGAATCCCCACACTTTCGCCCGGTTTCCTTGCGGCGTCCCATTAAGAAAAAAGAACCGACTCGGAAAAAGACAAACCCGGGTCTGTCTGTTTTTAGGGAAACCTTTTGCTTGGTTTTAAGAGGGAAACTCGAAGGAACACCACCATTTTGGGGTCCACCAAAAGCCACGCACCCACCGACCTTTCTGGCAGGATTGGTATCTTGAGGAATCAACTGCCACGTTTCGGAACACTACTTTCCGTAACGATGGGCGATTCCCTATAGGAGTCAGGACTTCAATCCGGCGACCGTTGTGCAGCTAAACAAAGCGAATCCCGTGGATGTTGGGGTATGGGACAAAACATCAACCGCACGCGAAAGAAGAACCCCGCGGGCCATTCGGATCAAGGCCGTGTCCGCGAGGCACGTGCGTTGCCGTCACCGCCCAAAGAATCGAGTGCCGATGATGTTGTTTAATCGATTTCACGCGTGCACCCGGCATGTCACAAAGTTGGCATGGATGGCGTCATTGGCATCCACAGAGCCGTCCGGGCCCATGCCCCTCGACAAGGGCCGAGTCCGCGTTGCCACGCACGAAACTTCTCCGTCCCCGTCTATGGGACGATGAACGCTACATGTCCCATGTAAACATCACAACGGGCTCAAGAGATGCTTTGTTAACCCACTCAAAACGGAAAGTATAAGCGCCTCTGTTTTGGTGTCACTGAACTAGCCAGGCCAGCCTTTGCAAAATATTCATGCTAAGAAGGTCTCCTAGTGGCTCTAGTGCTTTTTTGAGATTCCTGCGGACCTTAATTCCACAAAGGGTCTCTTAGTTCCTCTTTTCAACCCCCTCCAAAGTTGCAATGCATTCGCGGTGGCTTCTTAGGCAGGGATATCCTAAGTTCAAGCCTAGGGTATGTTTGAAGATTCCTTGTAGCCCCGGCAGGCCAAAAAAAAAACCACGCCGAAAGCCGAGGCCCGCACGACAGGATGCCTTGACACCAGCTTGCAGAGCGCGCAAACAAACCTCGGCCGCTGAGTTAGCTACGGCTCGGCTCGCTCGGCGCCTAAAAATGTACGGGCAAAGTAGACATGACCCTTTTGGTCATCACCCCATTGGGAGATTTCTCGAAATCGGGACCCCCTGAAATGGGTGCTGCCCTCAAAACTAGGGGTCTTTTGACCCATTTCGAGAACCATGTTGATGGGTGAGATTTCGGCATTGGGCGAAGGCAGCAGCTTCCTGGGCGGGCTGAAACAGAGGTGCATCAAAAGCAGTGGGAGCGAGAAAAAGGCGGGCCCCTGTTTGAGGATGGCCCCCTTGCGCCGGTCGGGCTCCCTTGTTTCCACTCTTCCACTGGTCCAAGGTCCAAAATGGGTGCCTTGTTTTTGGATTTGGCTTTTGGGGGGGGATTTTCGTGTGGCACGGTAAAAGGAAAGAAAACACCCGCCGAAGGGTTCCAAAAAATCCCATTTGTCAGCCCCATAAAAGGCAAGTCCAACCCAGAGGCCCAGAGGCCCGCACTGCGCACAGTCGTCCAGCGAGCCGTGCGCCGGCGTGATCAGCTGCTCCTTAGCGCTTAGCGAGGAGTCACTCGCAATCGAAACCCGGGAAAAGAACCATGCGGCTGTGGTTTTGAAAAATGGTTGGCAACCCCAACATGGCGAAAAAGAGCCTGATCGGTAAATGGAACCCCAGGACTAAAACCTGCGGCTTTGTGTGGTTTAATTTTGACCCACACCCGTGCTTCAAGAATTAAGAAGCCGGATATCCGCAGCTATTTGTGGTTGGGATTATCCCACCATCTACCCAGGTTTTGACCCCACCCAAAAAAGGGGAGACAAGGTCTGGCTGGTTCGAACAAGGTCCTCGGGTCACCACTCATGACTCACCCTGAGAACCGCAAAAAAAAAAAACATGACCCTTCACTAGCTATCGTTTTGTGCACTGCTGCTGATTTTCGGGCACTGCGTACTATGCACTATGCTTCCTGGCGTATCGCGTGGAAGACATCTTCGCCAAGTGAACAAAGCGCCCCAGAAGTTCGTGAGGTTGTTTAAGCCCACAGGTCGCGATGTCATTTGCCCAGACTTATGGACCGCGATTTTGCAGAGTTTTACAGGGAAAACCAAGAGGAAACCGCACAGAATTGTTTGTCCCCTTGAAAAAAACATGGGGGTCCCCTTAAAACAAAAAACAAAAAAAGACGGAGCCTTCCGGATTTCTCTGGGTCATCTTGCAAATGCTTGCGACGGGGCGCCGGGTAGACCTTCACACCCTCCTCGGTGGGCCAGGAGCGAGAGGAGGAGGAGGGATGGCGCGTGACCGCCTCCCCTGGCATCGTGCGGTGGATGCCTTCATATTGCAAGTCAGTCAACCACAAGCCACGGGAACTTACCAGGGTTTCCTGTGTTCCTTACTCGCAATACTTGGGGGCATCCACCAAAAGAAGAAGAAGGAAGAAGAAAAAAAAGGAAAAAAAACGCCGGGATCTCAAGTCCCAAGGCGGCCGACAAACCGCATGGTGGGGGCTCCACTGGGCCAAGTTGTTGTTGTCCTGTCCCTTCAACACGTCACCGAGAGAAGGGGATAGCCGGAGAGCCTCAACAAAAGGACAGACCCCAACAAATCCCACTAAGAAATCCAAAAAAATCCGGCCGCAAGAATCCCTCCACGCGAAAAAGAAGAAGAAGAAGAAAAAAACAAGAGAAAAAAGGGAGAATAAAAAAAAGAACAAAAACAATGAGAAGCAGCAAAAAATAAAACTTCGCGGCCTTCGACCTCTTCTCTGGACCTCGAGGAAGCAGAGCCTGGCGAAATCGGCGCATTAAGCACCGGTGAGAGCTGGCACCGCCTTCGGAAGATGTAAACCTTGATGAATGTCCAATCTTGAAGGGGACTTTTGGGGTTGACTCCATTTTTCCGGGAGATTCACAATGGGGATTTTGGGGTTGACTCCGATTTTGTTCGGAGAAAAAAAAAGTCACAATGCAAAAGATTGTTGGGGTTGACTCCGATTTTTCTCGAGAAAAAAACAACTGCAAAAGAAAGCCATGTCAATTTAGCTCACTTGCGTGGATGGCCCAAAACAGCTCGAACTTGGTATTTGCCACTAACATGGTCTTACCAAAAAGCTTAAAGTTCATGAACTCCCGCGCCTCCCGCCGTGGCATTGGCCGCGGCATTTGCCGCGGCGCTGGCCGCGGCATTCGCCGCCGGCCGCGAGGCCGTGGCAGCCGAGGCGCCGGCGCTGGCTTTGTCCGGCGGCTCTGGCTTCGGCCTCCGAAGGGCCATGTCCTGTTAGGTTGGAAGTAGATGGGTTCTGGTAGATGATCAAACCAGGTCAACCAGGAATCGCCATCTATTCGACCAAAGCAACCCAAAAGGACACCTATGCGAAGGACGCCTTGCCGCGAAATTCGGGTAGCCACCCCTCCGGCTTGGTTGGGTGAATCGAACCCTGGCCCGGAACCTGCGGCTCGTGGCTCAAAAAAATTGGGACCCAGACCCAGATGGCCCAAATGATTCGCGCCAGGCCCCTTGAAATGGGCCCTGAGTTGGAACGGCCTGGCCCATGGCTTCCCGAGCTTTTTGGCTTTTTGGGTAAGGCCCCGGGAAATCCAGGCGCCCTTTTTTTGCCGGAGTACGGGGTTCCTCGAGGAATCCGAGATTTGCCGGAGTGCGGGGTTCCGGACGGGTTCCCTCCAGGAATCCGAGACGTGAGGGCGGAGCTTTCTTTCCTTCCGTGCTCGTTGGAGACCGCTCCGTTTGGAAAAAATGTCCTCCCGGCTCATCCCGGGCTAACCCACACCTCTGTCTCTCCAAATGGCCCCCGAGAATGGCTGGGCAGGGCCATCGGGGCCATCAGCTTGGGCGTTCCGCAACTCTTTCATCCCAAGACTGGTACCAGTTCCCTGAACCAAAGATATCCGCAACCGCGAGACAACATGGGGCCCGGGCTTGGCACCGTTCATACTCCGGCCATTCAGCCTCGGGCGCAGCTGGCTTGGCTGCAAGGTCCGTCAAGTGACTCGACGGTTGGGCCCCCCAAACAAAAAAAGTGGGGACATACCCTCAAAAAACAAAAACACGCCCATATTCAACCAGCCCCAGTTGAACAACCTCTTCTCGTCCCCGGGCCACATTGTCCCCAAGCCCGGCTTCACACCGAGCCCTTCTGGGCCCGCGGGCATGCCGTTCAGCGGCTTGGCATCCCGTGGCTCCCGCGCTTTGGCCTCGGAAACTGGAGCGAGCGAATTCCCCAAACCACACGCGGGCGGGGGCGGTCTTTTTTGGGGGGGAGGAGGGTCCTGGAAGACCATCTTCCTTTATAAGGGACCCGCCTTTGTTGTCCATTGTCGGATTGCCATTTAAAAAAAATGGACACAGCCCAATGTTTGTTCAGTCTTGCTTTCACAATGCAATAGTTTCAAAGGCAAACAACACGTTTGTTTCAAAGTCAAAGTGCTGAGGCCGCCTCCAAAGTCTGGCCCAGAGCTAAAAACAAACAGCGTTCGCTTTGTCGAGGTCTTAAGCAAGTCCGGGACCTCTCCAGGCTTTCTGCTCTTCCATTTGCTAAACCCCCCTGGAAAAGATACACATATTCCAGTAGTGATAAGTTCCCTTTAAAACCAACAAGGGAAAATAAAGACATATTCTTACACAAATGGAAGTGCTTGATTCCTCTGCAACCGCAGACAGCTTAACCTAGACCCAAAACCTGCTGGACATCGTGGACTTCAATAAGTTCAACTGCCCCCCCTCGCCTGTAAAGTTTTAATCCCGTTGCTATACCTGATCCCTGCTGAAAGTCCAACACGCTTCTTCGTTGAGTGGAAACTACCACTTCTGCAACCCCAAAGCCGACCAACAAAAAGCCCAAGACGCCCTACCAAGCCGACTAAAGACCAAAAAGCCAAGACCCACGAAGCCGGCTGACTTCCAAGTTCACCTCCCCTTCGCCAGCCGGCCGCCCCCACCGCGCCCCGCGCACGATCGCGCACGCCGGCCCGCCTGAGCCACCGCCGGCGGGCTGCCCGGGCTGCCCGGGCTCGGGCTCGCAGGCTTCGGCTCGCGGCCAGCCTCGCCCCGAGCGATGGGACAGCCCCCCGCCGAAGGCCGAAGCTGAGGTCGCTTCGGGCGAACCCCAAAAGAATCGCTGGCAGCAACGGCATGCGAGGTTTTAGGTTTTGACTCAGTCAGCTGCTGAACTGACTGAAAACCAGGTCTTTCTTTGAATTCTTGCCAGCCCGAAAATGACGGCAGCCGGTCGGAGCCGGTGGCCGAAATGCTTGGGGGGTCGCATCTTTCGGCCGCCTTTCGGAAGGCCCTCTTTGAGAAAAAACGAAGCGAACCTGCGCAGCCAGGAACCAAAAATTCCCAAAGGAGGGCCAAACAAGGTGAACCCTCCGCCCCCAAGAAAGAAACAAAAAAGCGCAGCCACGACGTCTTCCCAAGAAATGAGGGAGCCAGCTTGCATCTACTAGTCACTGTATTGCACCCGGGACTTATACCCCTGCCTCCTCCATTTCAATCTATTTCCAAATGACATTTGAGAGGTCCCCGAAAAGACCTGGAAATACACGTGTTTACCTTCTGGGACCTTGACAATAATTGGGATAACATGGGAACCCATAAGGGAAAAAAAAAAAACGAGAAAAACGAGAAAAACAACAAAACACATGGATATGCATTGGGGGGCGGGGGCGGGATCCTCAACGAACGCGCGAGTTCCCGAGCCTTCGAAGAGCTCGCGTCGGACCGACGGCCTGCACACCGGCCGGTCTGGATCTTTCTTAAGCCGCGCACCATTTGTGTTGTAAAGAACGAGTCTCAAAAAGTCGAAAAGTCGAGCTTAGATTTGCGCATTCCGCATGTGTACATACCTTGATTTGTAAGCATGTGTGCACGTTTCATTCATGTTTGTTGCTGGGAAGATGTGGGAATTGGCGCCATTCCGAGTTTGAGTTGCCTGACCTGAGCAATTAACTCCCTGAGGCCACACCACGGGAAACTAGCAAGCAGTAAAGTACATCTCCGTGGCTCAATCCATGGACAGTATTACATACAACGGCTACATGATGTAGCTTGGCTATTTATGTACCAAACTCCTGTACCACACTAGGGCGGGTTCACCCTAGTATATATACATACATATAGATACATACATAACATGGTATACTCAGGCCAGGTATCCTTTTGTTTCGCCCGCCGCAAGTTCCGCCGGCCTTCGCTGGCCGCAGCATCCTCTCGGTCCTGAGAGATCACAGAACTACTTCGAAATGCGGGGGTGTCAAATGCTTGAAAACCAACAAGTCAACCGTTGGCTGTCTGTTTTCAGATCCCCCGCTAAAAGTTGAACTTTGAGTGGGATAAATGAACATTTCGGCCACTAAACACTAAAAAGCTAAGAAACCGGATGGCTGGGAGCCACCAACTGCAGAACCACGCAAGCGGTTTCCTGGGAAAAGAGAAATCATTAAATCATTCACCCAACATACCCGAGAGGTTGACTCTCTGAACAGAGCATTGAACCTTCCCTTGGTTACATATTAGTGGCTTTCTGAAGCTCCATTTGGCTTGAGGTTTCGGCTAACCACTCATGAGCGTGTGGCTTTCAGCCACGGGAAACGCCAAGCTCATCCAAACTCAGAAAGATATTGCCCCAAACACAAACCAATCCTCAAAATCAACGCCACAAAATGACACACACACACACACACACACACAGCCCCCCCCCCCCCCGCCCCCCCGGGCGTTTTACGACCTCCCCCTCTCCTCGCGCTTCTCCACCTTTGGCTTCGCCGCGTGGAACGGCGCCGGCGCGGCGAACGGCGCCGGCGCCGGCGCCGCGTTGAGCGGCGCGGCGAAAGGCGCCGGGTAGGCGCTGGCGCCTTGGGAGGCGCCTTAGCAGCCGAAGGAACCAGTTTGGCGCACCCATTTTAGAACCTATTTTAGTGCTTGGATTGGTATGTTCACTGGACCCATTTTAGTCTATTTTAGTGGTTGGATTGGTATGTTTGGCTCTTGACCCACCAATTCTTTCCGAATCAAGCATCAAGAGGTTGAAAAGGCAGCGACGTCAGGGGAAGCTGAGGGGAGCTGGTAGAATGGAGACATGCACTTCGAGTCTGGTCACCTGGTCCGCACATCGCGGACCTTGAAAATGACACTGCCTCTAGTGGCAACATGTGTTCTATATATTTGATTGCGGGTAGACTTGCCCGGGTGAAGGTTGGACACCACACTTGTTCAGGTTCTCTTCTAAGCCGAAGGGAAATGACCCCACAAAACGGTGGGCTCCCATCCCATTTGGAGACAAAACCCATATGCGTGTGTCATCTTTTGGGGAACCCGCTGTTGGTTGGTGTTCCACCGAAGTCAAGAGGAACGCCGCCATGTGTATATATATATATATATATTAATATGCAGGGGGGGGGGTCCCCTTTAAAACAAAAACATAAACAACAAACAAACCCACAATATCTGCCAAAGAAGTAGGCCTAAGGACGAAGGCCAGCAAATGGCCGTGGAGGGGCAAGAGATGGCCAGTAATAAATCTCCGGCCTGATCTGGACGCTCTTTGAGATGGATAAGTTATAAGTTTAAGGGACTTCTATGGATATCCGCATGACGTAACTTGCTGGTGCTGGATTCGGTCATTCCCTACCTATCGCACCAGCAAGTTGTGTGTGTGAGCCCTTCCATGCTCTCGCGGTGGGTTTCCTTTTTTGGCTTTCCCGGCTTCAACCCAAAAAGCCAGCCTCTCAAAAAGAGAAACACACGCACACACATGGGTATGGCTCAAAATTAAAGAGCTGGGGTTACGCGGGTTTTCGTTTGGCTCCATTTACCAAGGTGCCATTTTGGTACCACTTTTTTGAGCCACTGCCACATGGCTGTCTTTGTTTCATTTGGTACAAGTACCCCTCTCTTTCTTTTTTTGTTCGTGGCTTGATGGGAACCCAAGCAGAAAAGCACACACATACGCACACACACACACACACATACATACAGACCTGTGGCTTGGCAGCCTTGCAACCCGGGGTGCTGATCTCTTTCTTCTTGTTCTTGCTGTTCACGTCCGGGGCACCTGGTTTTCGGTTTTCGCCGCCGCCCGAAACCCCGCAAAAGGATACGCAGCTGCCGTTGCCCCCCTGGCTTGGTGCTGAGTGCCGGCTTTCTTGGAAAGAAGGATCTCTAGGAATGACAAGCTACCCAGTGCTCGAAAATTTGGGGTGGAATGGAACCAGCTGGGAGTAAACACCCATTCAGCCCACTCCCATCCGAAGTCAGACCGTTGGGAGAATCCGTTCGCACCGACGAACGCTTCAATACCCCGGTTTGAAGTCTGACAACTTTATGTGTCCAGGAATCGGGCCAGTCTTTTAAATGGCACAAGGGAAACCAACAGGGAAACCAACATGTTTAAGCCGTCCCAGGTTTCAGAATATCCCCACATCCATTGACCCGTCATGGAGCCGTGCGGCTTCCCTTGCTGGAGCTAACAGTGGCTTCATCCTTCTTGAAACATCCCAATTGCCCAACAAAACTGAAGTCCTTGCAGGACTCCGATCGGTAGCTCCGAAAGGCTCCCTCTTCAAAAACGCAACTTTGGATACCGGGTCCCAGCTCCGTATCGGCTCCCCGGAAGCGCCAGCTGGCAAAAAAAAAAAGCCTTCGGCACTGTGGCACAAGGGGCAAACGAGTATTCCACACATCCGGGCACCAAGCCCCTCGGACCATTTGCGCAAGCTTCTAAACCCTCTCGCAAGCTGAATGTATGAACCTGTGCCCATGAACATTCTTGTGAAGCCCTTGGCCCATGGCAATGCATCCAATAGTTGGCGCTTATTCCACGGGCCAGCCACCGAAGGCTCTAGCAAAGCAATCCTTGGATCATGGCAGCCGGTGCCTGTGAGGTCAATCGGTTCTGTGCCACACCAAATGCTTTGAGCCACCAAAGAACCTTCAACCGCCCCATCCCCCAGCGGTTTTTGGGTCCGCGAAGCCTGCCTGCTTTCGCTTTCGCCGCGCGGCCCCTCTTCCCTCGGGGCGCCCGAAGGGTTTCCTCGAATCCTGGCCCGGCCGTCGAAAAAGAAGAAACGCCGCGGCTGGCTGACCTTCGGAAGCAAATTCAAGAAGGGTATGGGTCAAAAACAAATCACCGGGGCAGGGCAGGTTTTAGTCCTTGGTTCCAAATACCAGGGTTCCATTTTGGGGGTACCCTATTTTTGACCCACTGCCAAATGGTCCTGGTCCAGAGGAATTCCTTTCATGGATGTGGCGCCATGGCAAAAAAAGGTGGGAATTTATCACGCGCGTGTGCGGTTGGGGAGGCCTGCTGAACTCTGCGAGGGAACCGCAGTCGAAGTTTCCCGGGCAAGAGTCTGCAAAAGCTCACTTGCGAATGAAAAGCTCGGTTTGTTGATGCGACAACTGAAAGGCAAACCAACGGGGCGACCAACAGGTCAGACCCAGCCAACCAATTGCTGTTCGACTGAGAAAGGGGAATGACTCAGAAGCGACACACTCTGTATGTCCCGCTCATTTGGTGTTTCCTACAAGTGCCACGATAGAAGAACATAATTTGAAGCACGCATCAAACCGGCGATTGTTGATCTGACAAGGGTGAATTGAAGGATCCGGATTTGTTCTGGGGCGAACTGGTTTTGAGCTTTGGTCAACCCAGGCACTCGTTAGGTGTGCTCCTTGGAAGAACTTTCATAAGGAACCTCAAAAGTGGTTTGTGGGCATGAATCCCCACCTGAATGTCCACGAAAGGCCAAGAAAACATTCACGCCCAAATCCTAGCAAATAGGTGACCTGTTTCAGAGACACATTGGGGGTGGGGGGGCGCGGGTGGCTTCTTGGACGTCCCAGTCCCCTGAGTCCTTCTTCGTCAGAGTCTCGCTGAACCGCAGGCACCACCTGACGCGTCAGGAGAAAAGGGGCGCGTCTTCATGGGGGCCCGTGTCAGGGCGGTTGGTCAAGGGAAAGCACCTCTTTGTTCGTTTCTTTTCTTTCTTTCTTTTTTTTTGGGGGGGGTGGCTGTTGGGGGGTTATTCAATTGAAACCACCTCTTTTTTCGGTTCTTTTTTTTTTTGGGGGGGGGGAGTGGGGGGTGAGGGGGTGAGGGGGGGATTCTCAGTTGAAGAAATCAACATGGCTAGAACAATCCATTCCGCAACCTTTGTTGCTGAGTTGAGATGTTGCCAAGTTGCAATCCAAAGCCGAAATTCACCAAACAGGTAAAATGAAACAACTCATGGCATTGCTGCTTGAGAAACACTTCCCGTCTGCGACTTTGTCATGGCTCAAACACAATGTAGAGTGCCTGGCTATGCACGTCTCTGAGCGTGTCGAGAGGTTTCTTGCTTGGGCGGTGAATGGGGAGGCCCACCCACGCCAGAAAGGATTGGAACATGGACAACTTAAGTGATGGCCACAATCTTGGATTGTGGTTCAACCCCCCCCCCCCCCCCACGACTTTCTCGAGGGCCGGGGGCCGGGGGTTCGGGAAAGCCAAGCCTTGAAAGGAGTCGGGACCCAAAGGGGGCATAACCTCGTGAGAGGGCATCCGGAAAACAGGGCGCCCACTTTCAAGTGGTTGGAAGCCGTGCTGCTCGGACCAATTTGCGCAGTTGCTCGTTCCTCCAAGCATGCCACCTTTAAGTGACCCCGCTGGGCAAGTCACCCTGCAACCTTGCTGTTTGCCAAAAGGTGTTCTTCAAAGAATGAAGTGGGGCGCCTACGGTGTTTCAAACACAAACTGTAGACGAAGCAACCGTGCCCCCTTTTTGGGCTTGGTTCGCGTTGATTCCACTACTTCGCCCAGACGAGTCAGGGATCCACATTCCAACACACACCCCTTCCCACTCGTTTTTCAAGAATCCCCCCGTGAAAGCATTCCAACACTCCCCCTTCCCACTTGCCTTTTTAAGAATCCCCGCGTTAAAGCATTCCAACACCCCTCCTTTTCCTGTTTTTTCCCCAGAATCTGAAGGATTATTTGGCTTCCTGGAATTGTTGATATCCTGAAAACCTTTCCTGGATGTTTTGGTTTCCTCTTGTGTTGTTTCCTTTCCAACCAAACTCCAACCCCCCCAACCTCCCCCTCCCCACCCACTCGCCTCCAGCTTCGGCTCGGGCTTCAGAGGCTCCTCGTCCTGAGTCGGTTCCCACCTGGAGGCCCTTGCGTGGTCAGCCCGGCGAAAAGTCTACATATCACTTTTTGTGGGTTGGGCTAAGTGGAAACCACGACGAAACCAGCCAAACAGCTAAGAAGCCAAAACGCTTATATGACTTGTTGTGGCTTAAGTTAAGTGGAAACCACGACGAAACAAACTAAAAAGCAGAAAAGCTAAGGCACCGGATGGCTGGCAACAACCAAGAATCACACGCGCAGGGCGACCGACGCTAAAAAAAGCGGGACATGTAGGGCGGAACACAAAATTTGGGCTCCAACCGCAAAGCTGTGCTGTAATTTTTGCAGGGGGGGCCCCAACATTTGCCCCTACTTGCAAAAGACTGCAGACGTGAGGTCTGCCTCACGAACCCCTCAATCGCGCGGCTCATGGGGTTCCGCCGGGCAGCTTTTGCCATCTGGCCCATGTGTTTTGGGTTTCAAACGGAGGGCGAGGGCGCAAAAAAAAAAACTTTTTAGGCATCAAAAAACAACTTATTCCTGAAGGTTAAAAAAACTGTGTAGGGGTCAAAAACAAACTATTCTCTTACATTTACTACTGAAAATGACAAGTCAGAGGATTAAACAAACTTGTCAGGAATCAATAAAACATGTCTTCATTTCGTGGCAGGCGCAGATTTCGTGGCAGGCGCAGCACTTTCGCAAGGTCAGGTACAGATTTCGCGGCAGGCGCAGCACTTTCGCAAGGTCAGGTGCAGATTTCGGAGAGAGAGAGAGAGAGAGAGAGAGAGAGAGAGAGAGAGAGAGAGAGAGAGAGAGAGAGAGAGAGAGAGAGAGAGAGAGAGAGAGAGAGAGAGCGAGAGAGAGAGAGAGAGAGAGAGAGAGGAGAGAAGAAGAAAAAAGAAAAGAGAGAAAGACAAAGAGAAAAAGGGAGAAATAAAGAGAGAAAGAGAGACAGACAGAAAGACAAAGAAACAAAAAAAGAAAGAAAGAAAGAAAGAAAGAAAGAAAGACAGGAAGGAAGGAAGGAAGGAAGGCAGGAAGGAAGGCAGGAATAAAGAAAGAAAGTGACGATTCAACAAAGGGTGCGTTAATGTCCGCAAACACGCGGGGTGGGGGGGGTGGCAGCCCCCCCAGGATAATCTTTGTAAACATTCTAGAAATGGTTGGGGGGGGTTGTTGCCCCCCCCATGATGATGGAAGAAGTGATGATTCAACAAAGGGTGCGTTAATCTTTGTAAACATTCTAGAAATCAGCGGGGGGGTTGGGGGGGGGGGGGGCTGCCGCCCCCCAAGATGATGGAAGAAGTGATGATTCAACAAAGGGTGCATCCGCCGATTCGAAACCGATATTGGGAACCTCTACTAAGTTTGTTTATTGACCCCTAATAAGTTAGGTTAAATATATATATATATATAAATCCCTGATTTAAAAAAAAAAAAAAATCCCTGATATATTTTTGTTGATGCCTATCCCTCAAACAGACCCCTTTTGGAACATGCTGAAAGGAAAGACCGGTCTCTGGAACAAGATGGCTTCACTTGCTTTCTTTAGGATGGGTATCGCTGAACCCCCGCCCACGCCCTCTCCTCGTCCTCTTCCTCACTCTCATCGTCCTTTGCTTCATTGGCCGCAGTTTCGGGCTCTTCCACCTTCGCCTGACCGCGACCGAACATGTTGAAGGGCCCGAAACGTCAATGGAACAAGTCTTGGCAGGAACCTTCATCGGATGAGCCCCTGGTTTGGCAAATTACCCTAATTCACAAACCAGCACCTTCATCTTTGGGTGAGCCTGACAAGAGGAAGTGTGTGTCCGAAAGGACTGTCCGAAAGATCAAAAAGGCGGGGAACCCTCTTCCCCCCCACAAATCTTTTTGGCTCGTTGCTAGTCTGGTCCGGTTCGCGGGGAGATCGTTTTGCCAAAAAGGAGAAACTGTTGGTGGGTGGGTTCAGGCCAACTCGTCTATTGGCCAACCGTTGCGAAATCTGCGTTGAGCTTCGAAGGGCAACGTATTCCCGGGTTCCACGTCGAGAGGTACCAAAAAGCGACAAAAGCGCCGAAAGGTTTGCCCGGAAATCCTGCCGCAAAGGCAGTCCCTGGCTCGCTGCGGGGGTGTTGGCTTGGGTCGAGCTCATGCGGCATGGCGCCCTGGCAAACCACCTAGAGGTGGCTGTGATTCGCCAAGAATTCGTCCATAGGAGATGGTTCTAAAAGCGCGAGATGCCCAGCAAACCGCGCATGCCTGGAGCTTTGAGCAGCTTGCACCCCACCCTTGGAATGAAAGGCAGACTCGGTCGCCTGATTCTTCCTCTCCTTCTCTTTCTGCTTCTTCTTCTGCTTCGCTTTCTTCTTCTTCACCTGCAGGCTCTGCGCTGCCAACACCGTTTTGCCACACTAGCAAGCCAGGGTTTCGAACAAGCCATTGCCATTTCTGGGCGTCTCGTAGACGGGAATCTGGACTTCTGCGGGTAACCCAGCCCAACAAGACCTTGTTAGGGCTCCTCTTTCGGGGGGCGGGCTTGGCATCCGAATTGCTTCACCTTCCCTATGCAGCGCTCCAAATACCCACTTGCTTGTGGCCATGAAAAGTAGAAAACATGGGGGCTCGGGGGCAGGGAGATGGAGGGGGAGCCCAAACAAGCCCTGAATTAGGCCTGACTAAGAGCCCAAGAGAAACTGCTGGCCAAGCCTCAAAATCAACCTCCACCCCCACCGGTAAGTGGCCATGCCACTCTACAATGGGGTACATCCAGAGCTTTGCGCAGATCGAAGCTCTCTTGGGTTATTTTTTGTGTGCATCATAGAAGTCCGCCTGCAGCGCAAGCCTTTGACGTGACCTGTTCATCCGTGAGAAGCTCCCTTTGGTCTGTGGAAGCTTTGACTCACCAAAGGCCCATGGCGACACCCAATCCAGCCCCTCTTGGTGAGGTTCGTAGGACAGCCATGTGGTCTAATAGATTCAATCCCTGGCTTTGGCGTCAGGTGAAACGGTTCCGAATAATGCTTGGGTGTCCGATGGGATCTGAATACGTACGGAAAAAGAAAAAAATCTCCCCAGGGCCATGGTTGAAGAACAACAACAATCATCTGTTTCGGTTTGATTGTGCATTTCCATAGTTTATGTCCCCCCCCCCCCCCAAAAAAAAAAAAAAAAAAAACTTGTTTATGGCCCCATCTCCAAAACGTTTCAACAGAAGTCCTCCACCCCTCCAAGAAAGTAAAACACAATAACATATAATAACACCAAAACAAAGGTAGGGATTTGGCAACCATTCCCCCCAAAATGGGTTCTCCCAAGTCGCAGGTGTGCAACCCTCAGGTAACTCCCAGCCAGGACTACTTTGTCAGATCCTGGGCTCACAAAGAAGCGGCCACCGAAACCCGAAACCCGATTTGCCGCAACCATGGCCTCGTAACTTGTGGGAACCCTCCTTTTGAGGGTAAAGCGCGTGGTGTGTGTGGGGAAGGGAAGCCAAATGGAAACCACTGATTTTGATGTGCCATTTGAAGACAAAACCCCATGTAGGATCCTATCTGGAAGTCCAATGATTCAGCCACCTGAAGTAAGGATGACATCGCGCAGCATGCCGGCATGGCTTTTCTCCAAGAGACCCAAAATCATGCGCCAAACGTGCAGCCGCTGACAGAAACAAGCCTGGCGGGCGAGGAACCCGCCTCACTCTTAGAGGTCTGCCTGCCTGGAATTGAAACACCGGACGCGCAGGGATCGTCCAAAGTAGGAAGCTCTACATCGCCACCTGAAACTTCCAGCTCAATGCACTCTTTAGGTCAACTCCGCCCCAAGATTTCACTGATAGCGGAGGGAACGCGAGTGGAAGCAAGAGGCTGGGCATAAGCAGTCAGCCAACCAGTGAAAAACCACACGGCGAGTTTTTTCTTGGACCGAGTCCATCGGCTTATGCAGCCTCTCCAAAACTTTGAACCGGCAGCTAGGCTCTTGGCCATAGCCCCATGCCAATATGGCAATATTGACACAGCCCAAGAGATCCAAAACTTCAATCGCGGGCCATTCTCCAGATTCGCCGCGTGTCTTTTTTGAGGCTACCCCGAACAAAAAACAGGCAAGGGTCTTCTTCCTTCTGGCTCCCCCTTAAAACCCAGCAACCAAAAAGGGGTAAAAACAAAAAGACACGACAGACCCGCATGGCCATGGGTCGAAATCCAAATCGTATTTCCAGTCAACATCCCAATCCCCCCTAAAATAGGTGCTAAAATGGGTGGTGAATTCACCTACTCACCAAAATGGGATCCCGTTTAACGGTTTTGACCCACGGCCACATCTCGCGCATTCAGAAGTCCCCCTTCTCCGCCTTTGCCCACTGCAGTGCTTGGATCAACCGGCTTTCCCGGCTTTCGCGGCGTTCATCCACCAGCGACTGCAGAGAGGGCGCTCTCGTGGGAAAGGACTCCTTGCAGCCCCCTGTAAACGGACAGTCTGTCGACCTTTCTTGGGGGTACGGTGGATTCCCCAAAGTAAGTCAACCACAAACCATGGGAATTTACAGGGTTTCCTTTGTTCCCTACTTGCAATATTTAGGGCATCAACCGTAGCCCTCTTTTTGTGTGGTTTTAAAGGGGTTGTGGGTCCGATTCCCAAGAAAAGACAGACCCACATTGCGCGAAACCCCCGGCGAGTCCTCGGGGTTCGTCATGCCATGGTCTTCTGAAACCGACGCCAGGCCGCGCCGCCTGAAGGGCCTTTTGCCGCGCACGCGAGCGCCCGGCATCGGCGGAATGGGCTCCATGCGGTAAAAATCGGGTCAAAGGGCACGGCCTTGAGCAACCATAGCTGAGCCGCTAGTGGCGGCGGGTAGCAGCCTTCGTCTCACTTTGGAGCTTTGGAGCTTCGGATGTAGAGCTAGGGTCCTTCCCGTCCCGATCCTCTCGTGGCCATGGCTCTGAAAGGGAAATGGACCTGAGGTCCGTCAAGCTTTCCATGTTCCCCAAGAAGCCGACCTTTGTGGTTTGGAGGGCGCCCAGATTGCGGAAAAAAGGCCAATTGGCTGGGCAAGCGCCGATCTTTGCCGTTGCATGGTGTTGAATGAAGTACAAAACCCCTGATATCCCACGACCTTGATTGCCCTCGTCCAATCAATCTTCACTGAAAGAGGGGAAGGTTCCTTGGTACGTGAAAAGCCGCTTCCAGCACTTTGGAGGTCGAGGGTAAGGGCTTCCGAGTTTCAGCCACTCCCGCATCATGGTGAGGAACGCCCCCAAAGAACAATGGGTGGCTGGCCTTTTTTGGGGATCCCCAAAACGGATTCGGTGTTTCTTTTGGTTTTCCTTAAAAACCACCCAAAACATGGGTACCCTCAAAAGAAGGCACACCCATGCATATGATGCGGGCTTGCTCAAAAAGGGCCAAAAGACAAAAGCACAATGCCAAAACAAACACACAAATGCTATCGGTGCGTTTCTACGCAAAAGGGGAACGGTCTGTCTGGTTTGAACAAAGGGCTCTCCTCCCCTTTGGTTTGTTTAGGCAAAACTGTCTAGACCGCACAAAGTTGATCCATTTCAAGACACTACCCCTGTTTCCCCCTCAAAGGCGCCCAATATTATTGACTTTTTCTTTCGCTCTAAGAATCCCGGCCCACAAGACACAGAAAGTAACAGCACCCCAGCGCCCTCAAAAAAGACGCACCGCAGGGTTCAAAAAAAGATACGCCAAACAGGATTCGCCTCAACAAAACGAGTATCCTCAAAAAAGGCACCCCCTCGCCCACAAAGGGAAGAACAAACACACATTCCAAACAAGTTAAACCCCTCAAACAAGAATTGCTACCCTCTATTTCTTGGAGGGTATTCCAAAAAAAACACGAGGGTCCCCCCCTAACCCCCCTCCCCCACCCACCCACCCCAAGACACACAAAAACCAAACGAACAGAAAAAAACAAAGACGACCAAAACCCACAAAAAACGCCCGGGGCAATCCCCCACCCCCCCCCCCCGCCCCAGCGACCACGCGCCACCGCGCCTCCTTGAGCTGCTCCGCGTCCAGGTCCTCCAGCAGCTCCGCCTCCGCCGCCTTGGCGGCCTCCAGCTCCACCGAGGCCTCGCGCGCAACGAGCGCGCGGCACTGGTTGATGGGACTGGAGGATGGGGATGAGGTCGGTGCTTTTGAACTTTAGGTTTTTCTAGTTGTGATGTGTTGGCGTTGACGTGTTTCATGTTGTTGCTCTAATTTGTGATGTGTTCGTGGTGGTGTTGTGTTTGATGGTTTGATGATGCATTTGTTTTGATGTTTTGATGACGTGGTTGATGATGTTTAATGTTTTGATGTCTTAGTTTTCTGGATGTTAGGCTTCAAGGTTTTCTGGATTGGGGTCGATCAATATTGCCTTCGGCCCCCACATGACCATGGGCAAGAACCCTAACCAACAAGAGCGCTTTACTCCGCTTGGAAACTAAGCATGCAAGCCCAAGACTGGCATCCAAAAAAGAAGAGTGTTTTCTCTTCCAGAAGCGAAACCACCTTGTTCGCTGATTCCGGGGCCCTTTCTTCTCCTTCCGGCCAGCAACAAATTGGCATGTCGAGATTCCGGCCCATGATTAGTGACCCTTATGCATATTGATGTCCTGGGGAGGCGCCCTTTCTCAGAAGGCCAACATCCACCTTGAGCCGACTGCCGGATCGAAGAGGTGCCGCGCTCTGTGAGTCTACATGGAATCTGCATGTGTTACCATAACTCCAAGGCTGAACTAAGGGATCCCCAAGCTGGCTCCCCCAAATAAGATGAAATTGATAGTCTTCATGGCTCCAACACAGGCAGCCTTTTGGGTTTCCATGGATCTGTTTTGTCCCGGATCATGGCTCACAAAACCAGCACCCATCGATTTTTCACCCAGCTCACCCGATCCAAACACATCCTACGGGCCTACGGCTCCAGCCAGCCAGGTCCCATCCCCATCCCGCCTGAGTGGGGGCCTCCCGACTCCCGGGCATCTGCAGCTCCGGGCACAGCTTCGGCAGGCGCGGCTCCCGCAGCAAGGTCCGCAGCGCGTCGTCCTTCGAGACCGGCACGCTGGTTTCGGGGCAGCCGGCCGGGCAGGGGGGGGGGGAGGAAGGGCGGGGGGGATGGGAGGAGGGGCCAAATTCGGGTTTAGTTGTTGATGAAGTCTCCCATTGGTCCAAAAAAGCGGACACTTTCAGCAGTGATTGCTCAAAGGCTAGGTCTACCCAAATGAGCATTGAAGGAGATTCTACTCCACCAACTCCACACCCCAACTCAACCCCAATTCCAACACGAATCTAAAGGTCGCAAAAGCACACCAAGAGCAACTCAGGTGAAGGGAGCCTGCGAGGAGGATTGAGACATCTGAGACGCTTGACACCCCTCTTTTTGTCCTCATGTGCGCTTCTATCACGAAAGCTGACAGGACTTGGAAGATAGCTGGTTGTTTGGATCGGCAGCTTGGGGACTTGGGGACTTGGGGGAAGATGAATAGCTTACTCTGATGGCAAAGTGACCCTGGGCAAGTTCTGTGACGTTGACTCATGCATGGGTAATGTTGCTTCTTGACTGGAATCATTCGGGTCCGGCCACCTGTTTGAACCTACCTCATCTTTTGCAATGTATGCATCACAGGATTTTCGTTGGAATGTCACTTCACAAATGGCGCGTTTCCAAGTGGTTGCCATATAGCCGGCCTTCAACGCCACATTTATCATTTTGGAAAAGGACAAGTTTGCACCAACTCGCAGGGGTAGGATTATCCATGATACGTATATATATATATATGTACATACATCCGCTCCAAAATGTGCCTGCATCATCACCGTTTGGTTGCTAGGTTTACACATTTCCTTCAACTCTTCAACTCGGATGATGCTCAAAGCGGATCGATAGGGAAACCCGACCCTGCACTTTCAGCGGGCACAGCCCGGCTGGTAATGTCCCTTTGACATACCACTCGGACATGGCTGTGAGAATGGCAAAATCGCGATCATAGATGGCCCTGGTAAATGAACTAAAACCAATCTAAACCGTTCTATCTATTTGTAAACAAACTAACCTCAAAAGGACACCTATGATCATCACGCTTTCGGCAGAGTTGTGGCACCTTTGGCACAAACAAGTAGGCGGACTCAATAAGGCAAATGGTCGGGCTTGTCTCCGCATGGGATATAGAACCCACAAAACGGGAGGTTTCTCTTTGGTGTCCCTTTCCAACACTGCCTAAGCATGCTACTATCAAAGACCTGGAAGAAAAACATGGGTGTGTCACAAGATCACAGCCAAGAGGGTGGGGGGCTCGCTTTTGATTTCCTCTTGACGAAGCGGGCTCCGTTTGAGGAGAAATACAGTTGCAAGCAAGCAATAAAGAGTGGAAACCGAGCAACAAAGGGAACCCAAGAGGATACCAACCACTTTCAAGGCAAATCAGAGGCAAATCCCTTTGGGTGTTTCTCAAAAATTAGAGACCCTTGAAAGTGACTTGTTCCCTTCCTTCCCTTTAAACCCAAACAAAAAGGGGATGAAATGGTTGAGCTTTCTCCGGGAGCCAACTGGTCCTTGAGGTAGATGAGCATGCAGGCGCGCGACTCCCGGGGACGCTTCAGCACTGCTGAGGGCCCGTAGAGATAGTTCACGCAGAGCCACTCCTGGATCAAATTTCGGCTCGCGCAAAGCCTCATACCGTTCCTCCCACTAACAGAAGGTATCTCACAGGTAAATTCCTGGAAGC